GATAAACCAGTTTTATCTGTGCACGCACGCATATTCTGGATTTTTGCTGACTCTTTCTGCGCCCACGCTCCATAGAAAAACAAATAGCTGCCACTTCAATTTCATTCGGGAATTTTGAGAAAATTATAGATTGAACGTTCAGTTTTAGAAAATTGGAAAATGTATACCCAGATTCAAGATGGATTTTGTTTTGGATTTAACCATGTACTTAGCCGATTTTACTGCGTGAACGGATTCACAATCCAGTAAGTGTTACGCGAAGTTTTTGGAAGGATAAACAAATGGGTTTTGAATAAAAATATTTAAGAAACAATATCTATGCTTATTCTTCTGTGTTTGCGAAAACATCAATTCAAAATAAGATCATGAGGCTACAGAATCCATGTTGCATTTAAATGATCGATGCTTTTACAGCTGTTTGTGGATAACACCCGACTTGCGATGCCAAAAACATCTTTAGATTTTGTGTTTTTCTACGACGTCAATCAAAATCTGAAAAAGCGGCCCTTTGTTCTTTTTATACATCTTAGTGAACCTCTTAGGAAACAAAAGGTCGTCGTTCGTGATTTGTGATTGGTGGATTTCGATCAGTTTTGTGTGTTTCTGTGTTTCAAGGTTAGATGCTTTGTTTTTGAAAAGCACCACAAGTTTTACCTTAGCTCTAAGATTTTTTTTATCTTCTTTACGCTGAAACATGGCAAGTTTGGATTCCAAAGGTGAAATTGTTCCTATAGAGCTTCCCTTGAAATCCAGAGGAAACACAGCTGCGGAAGAGTGAAAACGAACCGGTACGTTCCCGCTAACATTTACATTTGCTGACAAACACAGTGGATGCTACGGTAACGGTTTGATTGACGTCGCAGAAAAATTTGAATTTGGAGCATGCTCAATATGAATTGTTGAGGATGCCGGCAGAGGTTCCTTCCTCTTCCTGACTTATCTAGGAAGATCGAAGGAGACTCTGTTCGCAGGGTAAAAGATATTAAAATTAGGTAACCAGAGAATTTTCAGCTGTATATCTCAATAGTAGCGATTGCAACGGCCGCCCAAAGTTGGAAGCATTTGTATGAGAGAAACAACTTTTGCCATCCAGTCACGCTTGCATGGTTTTCCATACAAATCCATGTAAATTCTAAAATTTTTAAACTGTCGTTAAATCTTTCCTTAAGCATTATGGAGCTCAAATCTCCTTTAAAGGCAATTTGCGCCCTTAAATGCTTAAGGAAAGATTTAACGACAGTTTAAAAATTTTAGAATTTACAAGGATTTGTATGGAAAACCATGCAAGCGTGACTGGACGGCAAAAGTTGTTTATCTCAAACACATGCTTCCAACTTTCGGCGGCCGTTGCAATCGCTACTTTTCAGATATACGGCTGAAAATGCTCTTTCAGCTTGTGCTAACAAAATTTTTCGAAAGTGAATTGTTTTCGTGTTTACCGAAAGTTGGTTACGTGATCAAGTAATGCAAAGAGCCTAATGACTAAGCCATCCCATTCCTTCATCACATTCTACAAGTCGGGAACTCGAACCGAACCTTTTTACCTCAGAAAACTACGATAAAATCAAAGTAGAAATTACAAAAGAAATTTAACGGGCTGTTTGCAACATTTAAGGCTATATTTTTTCACATTGTTCCTGTGCAAACCACATTATAAAGCTTCTTCACTTTTTCAAATTCGCTGGCCGCTTAAACATGGCGGTCTGTTCAACGCGTGATGGTCCTCCATAGTAATGATGGTCATTAATCCGCTAACATTTTTCATCGCTTGTGAAGATAAAATATTCGGTGTGTACATTAACTATATGTAGAACTATGAACGAGATTTAAAACATGAAATTAAAGGCAAAATAAATCAAATATTTGCTCACCTTTGTTCCACTGTCGTCGGCTCCGTTGTGTACAACCACAGCCGAACTTTTCCATAAGAAATGAAAAGCCTTTACTAACAGTCTCAAAACCTTTTACTGTAAACTTCAAATGCTTAGACAGTTTATCCTTCACTTTGGACGCAAGCAACCATAATTATTTAAAAAATCTTAAGAGAGACGCGGGCGGAAACCGCAGTGTGATCGAAAATGAAACTGACTCAGTGCGACGAAGCTCACGGACGGGTGGAGTGGGAAGGGTAATTTGTCAACAACGCCAAGTCACGCAAGAGAGATGGTTGACCATGGGGTCACGCACCTGAAATACTTTTTATGGAAACAAAAAGCAAGGCTTCTGCTTGAGTACAGCTTGTTAAGGGTTAAGAAAATGAAAATTTTAATTCGAAACTTGCAGCATTTTGTGTAACAATTATCAAAAACGTCCGCTAAAAATCACGGATGGTTCTGAAAAATCTTAAGAAAAAAAACTCACAGTCGAACACCATAGCCAGGATTTTCTAATTCCCAGGTATAGAAATGAGCTTAACCATGGAGTGACGGCTATAATCAAAGTTCAGGATGAAAATCACACATTTTAAGCCCTTAACTGTTTGAAGACCCCTCCCTCCCACCCCCACCTAGTTATTACTTTTGGTTCATCGGTCGAAAAGGTAGGCAGAAACCCTGGGGTTTCTCTCACAATTTGCCCCAGAGGGGTAAGTGCCTTTTCAGGCGTCAGGTAGGGATATCCATCATTTCGATCTGTAAGGACTTACAAGCCGGCTCACAGACGCACCTTATGCTGTGAAAAGGACAAAAAACATTCCTGGTTTGGTGTTTTATTTATATGAAAAGACGCTGCATTTACAATGGTTAAAAGGGATGCAGTGTTTTCACTAGGTGCATGAAAAGGGTACCAGTATAACATAAAAGGTGTATTTTTCCTGTCAAAAGAGTTACATAAAAGGTTAAGGGGTTGGGCCTCGGGGCGGAGCCTTGCCGTATATAACTCGGTTGAGTGCCCCTCCTCTCAACCCCATCCCACTCCGGTGGCACGAAGGGGCTCTCAGGGGCTCAATTCGGGTCTTAGAGAAATAGAGAATGGTAGCGCTGGAACCAGGGTCTGGAATGGGTATGCGCTTTATCATTCTTCTCCTGAGAACTTAGATTTTGGTCTTCATGAAGTCAATGAAACGTGCCGCACAACCCTATTAAATTTTCCAGCCGTACGTTGGTCTACGTTCCCTCAGGTGTAGCCTGCGTAGCAGGCGCTTGGAAGTAGTAGGCGAAAGAGAGAACGGGCGCGCGCGAGGGAGACACGCGAGGGGGAGGTGTAAATCCGTCAGGTCACGATTCCCAGACGAGATGACAATATGGACTAGGTGGGAGCTGGAAGAACTTGGCCTTGCTACGGTAAAACGGGCAACAACAACGTGCAAGCTGTTTTCCAACATTGTTGCGAAATGATCTGAATTTAAGCGATGTTGTGCATTTTACTACTCACGATTCAAACCTGTCTTGCAATAAATCAGGTTTCTGTAAGTTGTGTACTGTGGATACTGACTTCCGATTGGATAAAATAACTCGGGAGTTACGCCTAACAGGCGCGTTACGTTACGAAACAAGTTTGCGTAGCTTGCGGTCGGGAAAACGCTCGTACAAATTTTGTACTCTGTACTTTCTGCAACAACCTGATTTGTTGCAAGCCAGGTTTGCTGATTTGTGGGTGGTAAAACGCACAACATCAATTGCGAGTAACTCGTTTTTCACTGTAGCCACCACCGTCTTAGACCCTGTTTACATGGAGTGGGGGACCCCGGTCTAGTGGGGTAGGTTTCTTTTGTTTTGTGTCCCCCAGAGCGCGAAAACAAAAGAAACCAACCCCGCTAGACCGGAGTCCCCCACTCCATGTAAACAGGCGCTTAGTGACATAAGAAGGTTTCAACTGATATCAGAACATCCCCGTACTCATCAGCTCATCGCTGGTTCGTGGTGAAATCGACACCAATGAATGTTGCAGATGCAAAGACAAAGAAACTACTATGTACAAAACTGGGTTTCTTCAGAAAATTCTGTCGATGGAGATGGAATTCAAACACTATATCCTTTAATCCTTTAGTTATTCAACGCAAAGGTAGCATGATTAAAAAACAATAAGATCAAGTATTTTGAATACAGCTATTCCAATGAACTTTGTCGCATTTTTTTAAGGCCTTCAGCCAACTACGCGACAGGACAGCAAGATCATGCATTTGTAACAGCCAGGAGGGCGGAAAGCATTGATTACAACTTCAACGCTTTCCGAATTTTGGGACTCCTTACAATAAAAAATTCCTGCATGTGTCCACCCGTGAATCCCAGTTTAATACTGACTTATTCACAGCAACCACTGAGGAATTTCTAGCTACACTTGTAAGTAAATAAACTCTCAACTTAGGACGTTTTTACGACTTTTCATTAAGGAGGAAAATGTGTCACTGTTTTTTACAAGTCTTACCAACAATTCAAACTTACAGAAATCAGCGTTTGATTACTTTAAGGCTACAAATGTAGATATGTCTCACTTCCGTCGTAATTGTATTTTACAACAGCTTATCAAAGACCACAATTCATCAGTTCCAATCGAGGCTCCTGTGAGGAGGGGGGAGAAATCTTTTACACATTTTTGCAAGAGAAACAAATGATCCCTCACGAGCATCGATTGGAAAGCCGTAAATCACATGGGACGGGATCAAAATGATCCCATGAGACTAGAGAATTGTGTACTGAAAAAAATTTATAGGTACTTTGAAACTGTAATTGTCGCCACTGAAGGATGTTATATATGGACCTACGCAGTTGAAGTTTACTGAGAAAATGCACGTGTAACGGCCAGGGAGGATTGATTTTACGGCTTCAACGCTGTTCACATGTTTGGACTCCTCCCATAAAAAATACCGCGGTCCTCCCCTCAATCTTAGAGTTCAATACTGAATTATTCACAGCAACCACTGAAGAGTTTCTGTGTTGATTTAAATAAATTTTAACGCTCAGCTTTAGAAGTTTTAACGACTTTTAGTTTCTATTCACACGGAGTAAATAATTAATTTTTTCACCCGTCTAAAACTAAACATGAATTCAGAACTTCAGAATTCACCAGAGTCCGAATGAAGCACTGGCACTAAGATTCTGTACTGCAATCCTCAGCTGAGGTCGTTTTTTTTCTACTGCTTTCTGGACATAATTCAAATCTTCTTCTGAAGCATCTCCTTGTCGACACCAAACCCTTTCAAGCTTTTTCTGTTGAAGCAAGTATGGGGTCATTAATCGTACCGCCTGCCTAAGTGGATTGTCCATCAGGTACAAACTTCGAAGATCAGGGATGTATTTTAAATTCTTGCGAAAACTACACAAGTCAGCTTCACCCATATCTAAATCTTGAAGTTGTAATGATTGTAAGCAGGGGAAGTAGCGCAGGTTTTTCGCAAGTGAAGCAAGACTTCCTCTCGCACTGAAACGAGTAATGGACAACACCACCAAAGAAGAAGGTCTGCTAAATCTTCCAAAAATCGCCTCCATTTCCTTTTGTTGTAAATTGCATCCACCCGAGCCACTTAACACCAGTGTTTTTAAGGCTGATAATTCAGGCAGCGACCGACCAAGCGACTCGGCTACTACTGACGTCAGGGTCATTTCACTCAGTTTCAGTCCCTTAAGAGTCTTGTGGTTAATACTGTCAAACAATCTTGTTACCGCTTCATCAGAGCACTCCGTCAAGCTCTCTATCCACAGTCGTTCCAAGGCTGATAATTTAAGCAGCAACTGAACGAGCACCTCGGCTACTGCTGGCGTCAGGCGGATTTTTTTCAGTCTCAGTCTCCTAAAAATATTGTGATCAAAAACATCAATCAATCTGGATGTTGCTTCAGCAGAGGAATCAGTCAAGCCACGTATCTCCAGACTTGGGAACGACCAACGGTCAACTAGAAAATCTGCTTCCAAAGAGTATCCATCCGAGGTATCTATAACCAGTCTTTCTAAAACTAATGATTCAGACAGCGACTGACAGAGCGCCTGGACTAGCGCTGACGTCAGGTTGATTTCAGCTATTTCTAATAACAGTTCCTTCAGAGTCTTGTGCTTGATAGCAGCAACCAATCTTGTTGCTGCATCAGTTGAGCAGTTCACCAAGGAAAGGCGAGGAAGGGTAACGTTTTCAAACCTTGGCAACAAAGATGCAAGCTTTACCGCTTCCGTTGATGTTAAGGCACAAGACTCAAAAGACAAAGAGCACCTGTCAGGATTTTGTACCTGCTCCAAGAGATGACAAACAGAGTCATGAGCATCGGAAGTGTCAGAATCCAAGTTGTCATCATCGGAATCGTCAGAATCGAAGTCCTCATGATCGCATTTGAAAACAATGCGTTCCAGATGATTGCAATGTTTGATAACCGCACCAAGACTTTTCATGGAAAAACGAGTCCCGCCACACTCAAGAGTTTTGAGGAATTTCACACATAGCTGTCCTGAAGTTGAATGTACTACATGAGGAGCAACAACATTGTCAGTGAATAGTCTGGCGTGTTTCTTGCACCACAGGTCCAAGTGTGTGACGTAAAAGAAGACTTGGCCATTACGGAAACAAAGTACTGAGGAAAAACGGCACGAACAAGAACCAGTGTTACTGCGAGAGGTATAAATATTCCTGAATTCTGTTAAAAATTGTGTAACTTTAAGAAATTGAGAACCTTTAGAACGCAGTATTTTAACCATACAACCCCATTGTGCATCGTCATTCATCTTCTCAATCTCCGTTGGGATCCAGTGTCTGCCATATCCAAAAATCGTCAAAACCAAAGACCAGGAGTTTGTATCAATCGCCTTTTCCAAGAGGTAGTTAGGGAATGAATCGGAAACAAGAAGAAAATTCCCAAGCGAATCCAAACAAGAACTTGAAAGCTCATCTTCTGATTCAACCTCTGCAAATAAAAATAAAACCAAATCTATGAACGTTTCCTGACGATCAGTGATGTCACTCAGTGGCTCGTCTGTCTCGTTTTCTACGTCCGGTATTGCCTTGGATAAATCCAGCGACGGATCCGAGATTCTGACAGACTTGAAATGCCCCCGGGGGGGGTACTCCCGCACATTTTGGATAGGAGTGTGCCGCGAAGGTTCGTGAACCCTAACCCTATTTAAGGACTAAGAAAGCGAAAACTGATACCCTTTTTAAGGCCGAAAGCAGAAAAATGACACCCTATTCAAGGAAAAAACAAAATTATTAATAGCATGAAAAGGAAAACTTTATTTCTTCTCTGTAACATTGGATGTATAGCATCAAGCATAAAATACTAGAATAATCCTAGTTTTAAAAAAAATGTTCGTTTAGGCGGGCGTTTTCACACTCCAGTATTAGATAATACAATTAAGCTACCCTATCTAAGGACCACACCAGGGACACAGAAACAAAAGGGTCAAAAAAGATACCCTATTTAAGGACCGAGAACCTCAAAAACCATACCCTATTCCGCGGCACATACCTATATAGCCCATATATGGGAGTACCCCCCCCGGGGAAATGCCTGAATACCGTCGACGCTCCATGTTTACTTAGGCCGCATATAAACTGGAAAACATTCTCTAAAGCCAAGCACTCTTCCAACTTCACGCTAATTTCATCGAGATTTCCACCTTCAGGTATACATCTGTAGGTGATGTACCATGCAGCCAGAAACTCTTGGATGCTCTTGTGAATAAAGGACACCATTCCAACTGGTCGTAAGGTTTCTGAGTATTCGGTGATTTGAAGCAAACCGATGAAGATACTTTCGTCGCAACAGACAGAATCGGATAACTGACTGTATTCAAACAAATGATCATCCTTCAAAAGGCTTTGCAGAGCAACTTTTCCTATTTCCGAAAGGATCTCTTTGAAAGATTTTAGCTCTACATACTGCTTTGTTTTTGTCTTATCAGCTGTTTGCTTACTATGGCTGTGATTTAAAATGAACTGGACGATGTCCACGTACAATTTAGTTTTAGAGTTTGGAAAGCTTTTTGACTGCCCCTCTCTCCACAGAATACAGAATAACAGGAGAAGTAAAGGGACTTTTGCCAGTTCCTGGAGCTCTCTCGTATACAAGTGATGCTTTAACTTCGACACTTCTTCGCTGTTGAGAAATCTTCGCATAAAGTCCTCTCTGTCTACTTGGCTAAACCCAGTGATTTCAGCATGCAGATCCTCACTTCCTCGTAGCTCGTCAGCTTTTGAAATACGAGTTGTTATTAATACACAACAGCTTCTCAGGCTATTTCCACTAAAAATCTCGTATATTTCCGAGTCACATCCACTGCGGTACTCGTCGTAGCCGTCAAAGATCAGAAGAACTTTCTCTTGGTTGTTACTGATATAATCAACAAGGTTTTCTGTCATACATTTGTCCTCTTTTGCAAACACATTAGAGAGTCTTATGACATCTTTAAGGCTTTCACATTTGGACACTTCTTTGAGATTCACAGCAACCACAAGCTCAAAATTCTTCAGAACAGCTGCTTGCTCGTCACCAGCCGCCTTATTAACTTCAACCCAGTCTACAAGCAGCTTCTTAACAAACGTACTCTTTCCAATTCCCGTCTGTCCTTGCACGAGAATCCTCTTTGGAATGACGCCGTTCTTGTTTGCAGTGAAAAGGTCACTGTAATGCTTCAGTTCAGACTGTGTTGTTCCAGTTGGCGTCTGTTCCTCTTTCACCCAGGAGAGTCTTGAGTAGATCCGGTGAATGTCGACAACGGATTTCTTACACCAAACAGAGGTGGGCACAGTTGCTGTTTTTTGGTAATGTTCTTCTAGTTTGCTTCGACAGGACTTCAGGTCGAACGGTTTTACAGATGAAGCATCTGATAGAGAGAAAAAGGGAAGAATTTATGAAAAAATCATTTATGATACCCATTATCAGAATTAAAAAGTAAGGGGAGTTGCATGAAACTAAACACGGAATTCCGAATGCTGACACCTTTTCCAAGTTCTGGGTCTCGAGATTTCCTTAACCTCCATTCAAAAGATTAAAAAGGCTTTTTTTGGAACGATTAAAGAAGATTTATGGTTGAAAAATTTTGTTTAAGTATGATTATCTACAGAGTCGTTTAGTTATTGTTTACTTTCAAACAGAGGCTCTTTTTTACCGCTAGTCTGACGTACAGACGATGAAAAGTCAAAAAGAATTACGGCCGTACACTGTGCACGTGCGATTTTCATACGGTCGTTTCTTGTATGAGTTGTTTCGTTGTTGTTTACTTTCAAACTGAGGCTCAATTTTCACTGCTATTACATGTATCTCAAGTACATGTATGCCTTCACTTCTATAAAAGCAAGTTTCAAAAGGACTATTAACAACAGACAATAAGCGAACGTTTTCGCTTTCAAAGCGCGAGCTTCGTTTACATGAAAGTGAACGAGTCTCACCCAATGCCGCGGAGCGGTGATTTTTAGAATAAACGGTAAGTGGAGTGCAGTGTTCTGCCTAGGATTTTGGGAAGGCCAGGGGGTATTCTGACTGTGATTTTTAACGGTGTTTGTACGGGGCCCGCTGTAGCCTGAATAATAATTTATCGACTTAGGAACTTAGTTTAAGTTGTAAAAAAGAGCTCGATTTGCTTTGACAAGCTTTTCGTCTTTGTTCCGCGCGTCTTGGGTTGACAGCAAGCGAAGGAATTTCCTTTAGTACTCCATGTTTAAAGCTCCTTAGAGGGCCATTGAACAAAATGAATACATCACAGGTTTGAACATTTTCATCCAAAGATAAAAATGAATGGAAAAATGGATGAAAATGTTCAAACCTGTGATGTATTCATTTTGTTCAATGGCCCTCTAAGGAGCTTTAAACATGGAGTACTAAAGGAAATTCCTTCGCTTGCTGTCAACCCAAGACGCGCGGAACAAAGACGAAAAGCTTGTCAAAGCAAAACCACTTTTATAACCAATACCTTGCGAGAAAATACACAATAAAGACACCAGACAATGGTTTATTCCCTCCCTTGAGTGATTTTGTCTTTAAAATACCTAGCTCTAAATGTTAACATAAGCTTCCGTTCGGTTAAATAATGGTTTTTATTTTAAGCAAGGTGGCAACAATTTCTCCAGTGTATTAAGCCAGGCGGTCCGCCTCGCCTTAAGTACCTAGGGAGAACAATGATTAGTGTGCGCTCTCACGACAAGTTCATATTTTTCGACTCGAAATTTGAAACTCGATCCTCGATCCTCGAGACTTGAGACTCTATTCTCGAGACTCCATCCTCGAAAGTTTCGAGATTGGACAATCGAGTCTCGAGGTCCGAGATGCAATTGACTGTCAACTTACTTTTGAGCGGTACTGTATATACATGTCCTTCAACATGTCCTTCATGATTAAAATGAGTTTTGTACCATGTTCCAACAACTTTAACAGTCCAGCATTGTTTAAACTACTCGAGATGATAGATCTTTGCATTTATTATTATTTTCTCGCAGTGTAAAACTTTGGAATGCTGTCCACATTATTAATAGTATAGGGCACTAACGTATTAACCTACACCACTTGAGAAGCCATACTTAGAAGTAGAAAAAGTTCGGGACGAAACTTAATACAATACTAATATACAAAATGATATGTTTCTCTCTACTCAGGGGCGTAGCTAGGAGGCGGTCCTGGGTTGCCCATGATCCCCCCCCCCTCTCCCTTTGTGAGATAATTGTTTTTTGTCCCTATAATTCAGGTGGCCAAAACTCGCGAATCCGAAGGATCAGCATGCAATAAATCTTTTCCAGTGCTAGATTGTTGCTTACTCCATTTGCAGGACCGAACATCTGCAGTGGACCATGTTTTCGTTCGTAACTAAAATAGAGTAATTTATCCTAGGTGGAACTTAATTAACCTAGGCAGTTATCTTGTAAGCTTGTCCCTTCCCCCACGCTCAATACTCATCCAAAATAAATCACTTTTAGTAAAAAAAAAACCGCCTGGATGTCGACATGCCAATCTGATAAGTACCCTGGGTGTGATGCAGTGTGACCCCCCCCTCCCCCTCCTACTCCTTTGAAAAATCCTAGCTATGCCCCTGCTACCTAAAAAGCCAATTTAGAATAGTAATCAATTCTTATACTCTGTAAAACCTACGCAAAGACATCATGATATAATTATCTCTACTAGAAGCCTATTTAAAAAATCATTATTATTATCATTTTTAGTTTAACTGGTCGCATTATTGGGGTTAAAATTGTAAGATAATGACGTCACTGTGAACTTTAAAAGGTGCTCATTGGTTATGATAATGGGGTCATGGCTGTACTCAAAACCAGGATTGAGGAAATGACTGTACTTTTGTTCAGGCCAAAAAAGTGGCCGTAATTGGCGGGTTTCTATAGCAATAAGTACGACCTCGAATTAATACAACAAAAACTTGTTTTCACAGTTTGATAAACAAACAATAAAACAGTTTTTAAAATTATCCAGGTTTAATAGATTACAACCTTACAAGTGTTACCTCAGTCTATAACAGCTAAATTCAACATGATTTTTCTAATTTTAAATTTTCTGACGTGCTTAAAAAGTAGGGGGTGGGGGGCTAAAGTTTGTAAGGTAAATCAGCATGCAACTATACATTTGTACACGAGGTACCTTGCTTGCCTGCATCAAAACTTATGCTTGCGCCCTGCTCTACTCCTCCAGATGGACCTGAAATTGCATTTAAAAATTACAAAAATATACAAAAATATACAAAATATCAAACAACGACATTAATGTTCTCCAGTCATCTCGGACATTTAAACTGACAGAGTTGCGGTGTGTCAAAAAATGATTCCAAGGGAGAGGTTGATGGGTTTTTCCTTATTTCTCCCCACCTCTTCTGCTTGTCTGCCCCTCCTCCCTTAGTTTTTCAATTGCTTTCAAGATGGCGGCTGCAATCACTGCACATCTCAGCTTTCATTAAAAAAATACCTGCTCCGCAGGTTATAGCTGTGCAACTGTCCTGACGAAATAAGTGCAATTGTAAAAACCTTTAAAAATACAGTTATGGAAAGCTTTGAAACAGTCTAAATGCAATGGCTTCTCATGTAAAAAGTTTGGCAAGATTTACCAATCGATTTTGCCTTGACTGAAATCTGGGAGGAGGAAATCGATAGGAGAGTGATGTTATTTATGGTGACAGGCGCCGGTAATATGTTACTATATTACTAATACACTTGTTGCACTATGATTCAAGGAAAAGGGTGTTGCTGTAAACCTTGAACCCCCAAGGAGGTACTCCGGATTTCAAGTGACACTCAGGAATAATCAAAGGATTTTTTGGGTTTGAAATATTTGATTTCGGAACTTTTTGGATAGGAAAGTTTTGGCAAGTAGTTTTTTGGGTAGCTAGATTTAAGTAGGGATTTTTATGGGTATTCAATACAACCTTAAGATTTGTGATAGTTCCTACATATTCCGAAGCCCTAGGAATTTTGGGGGGTTTTGATTTTAGCCCTCATTCGATCATCCCTGTCACTTGAAATCCGGAGTACCCCCCCCCCCCTTGGGCTTGAACTCTTATCAGGGACTGTTGCCAAAAATGACAACTATCCTTGTCTTTCAGCAATATTCTGTAGGACTAAATTACATGTACACTGTACTTTTATAGATGGTTTTGAGATTTGGCTCCAGCTGATGTTCTAACATCAGCAGCAGCAGTACTCACATCTTTCTGCTGTGAACCTTGATGAATTAATAGATAGCACAAAAGTTTAGTGGCTAGATTAATGTCAAGGAGCTGTTGTGATTCTACACACAATTAGTAATCTCTTCTTCACCTGTAACAAGACTTGGACTTGTGCCTGCTTGCTCAACCCTTCCAGATGGACCTTGAAATACAACGACAAAATTTAATCTATTATAAGTCACTACACCAGTGTCTTGCATGCTACTGATGTTTTTCAGTGAAGTTGCTTTTTCAGTCTTGCAGACAATAAACTGCAATTCATTAATGCTTTTTTGTCCACCAACCAAAGAATCATGGAAGCAAACTTGTACAAAACATTCAAAATAAACAACGTTTTGAATACACAAAGTAATTACCCCTAACCTTTCTTTATATAAACTAACTGGTTGCAGGTCTTATTAAAGGAAAAGTGTGACCATAATTTTTCAAAACTCAGTTATGCTCAATTACATTGATGCTTTCTTGATGATTGACTCTCAACAAAAAGTGTTTATGACTGTCAAAATGATTGCTTCTTGCTTGCCATCTGTCATCACAAGGCAGTTAGACTGGTAGTATTATTGGGGTAAAACTGCTAAGATAACGACTGACTGGGAACTTCAGAAGGTGGTCGTTGGTCATGATAATGGGGTCAAGGCAATATTTATAACCGGGTCATTGAGGAATTGACTGGACTTGCGTTCAGGCCAAAACATGGCCAAAAAAGACATCGTAATTGGTGGGTTTCTCTTGCAATAAGTATTATTCTTGAATTATTGTATTCCACCAAAAAAACCTGTTAGTGTAATTTTGATAAACCAAATTATTCAGCTTAATAATTTTATTAGGCTACAACCCTTTTTACAAGTGTTTCCTCAGACTGCAACAATTTTTGAGAACAGGATCTAGGGGCTTGTATTTGGAGGGGCGATTTATCGGAGGGTTTTTTGCGTTACAAATTTGGGGGGCTTATACCTGTATTTGGAGGGGTGTATACATGGAGGGGCTTATTTTCAGAATTTTGCAGTAGTTATGGAAAGATCTCAAACAGTCTAAATACAATGGCTTCCAATGTGAAAAGTTTGGCAAGATTTAAGAAATCAACCTTGTCTTGACTGAAATCTGGGAAAAGGAAAGCATCTGAATAACATTGCGAAGTTATTTATGGTGCGCAACGAGTGGTGGTAACATGTTACTGATAAACTTGTTGCCCTTAGAGTCAGGGAAAATGGTATAGCCATAAGCCTTCAACTGTTATCAGGGACTATGATGTCAAGAATTGACAACCATCCTAATGTCTTTATATTCTGTAGATCAGAGGGACTAATTCACCTTGAAGAATTAATAGATAGAAGACAAAGTTTAGTGGCTGGTTACTGTCAGGGAGCCATTGTGATTCTACATGCAAAATTATTAAATTAGTAATCTCTTATTCACCTGTAACAAAACTTGTGCTTGGGCCAGCTTGCTCAGCCCTTTCACATGTACCTTGAAATACAGCAATAAATAATTAGTCATTTCACCTGAGTGTCTTGTTCACAATTTATGTTGTTCAATAAATTGCTTTTTTGGAGACAATGAACTGGATCAAATGCTTTTTGCGTTACATACATATATATATAGGAGATTCATGGATCTTTTAGTAAATGTTCAAAATAAACCATTTTTTGAATTTTCCTCAGCTATTTGTAATTTTTTTACACAAAATAACATGAGTACTGGCATTTTTATACCAATGACAAAATGTGCACATGACAATTACCATACCAGGGTTAATTAACTCATGAAACAAACTTAAGTTCAAATTCAAGTTTAGTGTTTACTGGTGACATTTTAAACAGCAGGAACTTGAGTTGCAGGAACCACGTCCCCTGCTCTTGGTTCAGAAATTAAACTTACACCCTCCAGCTCAACAGACCAATTTCCCAATTGATCAATTAAGCTACAGAGTAAATGGGCAGTAGGTCGGCTCCCTTATGTGAAAGAAAAATTCCACCTCAGAATTCCAATGACCCTCCAAAACACCCTCATAGGTATCAATTACTTGGAAATGTTCTTAATGTCCAAGAACATCTACATGAAACATGAATGTCAAAATATTATTTTACAACTTTCGATCTTTACCTTGGGTTTTTGGTTTCCAGTACTGGAATTGCTTTGCAGTACTTCTTTTCACCTGCTTCCAAAGAGTTACTGATCTCCTTTCTTCTTAGATCGATCTTTATCCATTCTACGAATTAAACCAAGATTAAAATTTATGCATCAGAAAAAAGTAGTTTAGTGGATTGAGCTGGTTAACTTTGCTGGCACTTAAAGGAGTTGAGTACGAAAGATTAAAGCCTGAAAAAATCAGGCTCACCGAGATTTAAACGCTGACCTTGGGTGAGTGCAACACTCTAATCAATTGAGCTGGCAAGCCAACTGCCACTGTAGCTGGTCATTATCACATATTGGTTCCTGATTAATATACACTGTGTCTGGAAGCCTAAATTTTTCAGGCACTGTTTTTGCCACTGCGTAAGTTGTATCTTTAAATGCGATGATCAATCTTCATTTCTTTACTGTACGGTCCCAATAATATGAAATTCAGATATTCAATTGATCTTCATTGTTCCCAGGTAATAATTATTACAAACCATTAATGCAGTTTACTGGGACTATACACAACAATATAATAACAAAATTAAACATTCCAAGAAAGTTGACTGTCAATCAAAATTACTATAAAATGAAACTCAACCTGAATTCCTTTAACCTGCAGATGTGACATTTTAAGCCCCCTCGAGAAAACCTATGTTTCCTGAGAGGCTGTTTACTTTTATAAAGGTTACGGTTTCAAACATTTTACATATACAGAGTATTACAACTATCACAAGTCAACAAATGGACATATAAGCTCAATATAGGGTTAATCCAGAAAAAAACAGAAATATTGTGTCATTAAATAGCATGATCACCATCAAAATGAAAATAAAATAAAGCATAACTTAAGCAGGGCAATTAGCGGGACTATGGAGACTGCTTCAATTTATAAAGACACATGCAAGCAAATACATTTTTTAAAAAAATTTACTCATTACCTTTACTGCAGAACAGACAGCTGAACTCCCTTTATGTTGATTTGCACCTCAAATTTCCCTTCCAAGGTAAAGAGCTGTTTCTCAAGCTTTGTGTCAATTTAACATCTTTTACTATACATTTACAAAATGCTGTAAATACTCGTGGTCAAAGGAGTTTGAGGCAATTTTAAATAAGTATTCTCAGCAAAATTGACTTCAAAGCGTTATAGTTTGGGACAAGCTTTTGCAACATCAGACATTTCGTAGGGGTGCAATGGGCAGGGGCTTTTGTTAATGCAGAGTCAAGCAATATTTTTCCAATGTTGTGCAAACTCTCTCCTTCGTCCATTCAAACATATTTTTATTAATAACTTCCTGCAAACCATGCAGCAAAGATAAAAGATTGTGCGACACAGAAATAGTCTTTTCTTCTTCAAATTTGCTCAAATAGAAAAACAGGCACTTTGTGTTTTGAGGAAAAACGAGCAGACATAAAAAAATTGTTATTAAGAAGCGAGCAGTGAATGCGACAACTACAAAGTGGAAACGCTTCGTTGATTAATACAGCTGATAATTTTCATATAAAATAGCTGGACTGGAAATCAAAGACTATTTATCTTCTTTTCCAAGTGGCTAGCCCTGAGTGAACGGTTATCTTAATATATCACAAAAAATGTGCTTGATTCATCACATTCCTGAGTCTAAAATAAGGCATGGCGTTTCATGAGGAAGATATCCATCAGACGCAAGAAATTAAACGAGTTGGAACTTTTGCGACAAATTGAAGGGTTTACTAATTTCCTTCACCACCTCGATTGGCTCTTGTAAAGTCGCTTTTCGTTTCGTTATAACAGATAGCTAACAGAACAGCCTAAATCTACACAGGCCTTTTAAAAACAGGGCGGATCCGGTGCTAAAATCACTGATCTTCATTTCAATTTGGGCAAAATTGTATTGCTTGTGCAAGTAGAATATTCCAAATGTAAACTGTTTCTTTTGTACACGTTAGAAACGTACTGGGCAGTTTTGCTCCATTTTAAAACAAAACGAAAGATTCGCTTACCTTTGTTCGTTTCCTGTGAATTGCAGCCTAAATGAATGCAACTGAATAAAAGCTTGATGTTTCCAAATTTGAAGTAAGGTCTTGACGCCAAACCTTATACTTCACTATAATCAATGCTGTGAAGGCGTAGAGCGAACGAAAAGTACTTTCCGCTCGAGTAATTTGCAAGTAATCCTGCTCACAAAAGAAAGTGAAAGTGCTTCAGAAGGGAAACGATTGTACTTTGAAACTGAAACGTATAGAATTACCATAAGTTAACGACGCACGAGCAATCCACGCAGGCCAACAAGTCACGACATAAAGACATCAGGTCACGCGATTATTGGCGGCCAGACAAATTTGTCTGGTTAAAACAACTTAATAATGTAAGGACTTTTGTTACCCTTCAATCAGAGGCTCTTCAATCTTCATAGATAAGTAGACTTATCTAGGAAGATCGATACGAAACGTCTTTGTTCCCAGGGTTGTGGGCGTTGTAGGTTTCCAGGGTAGGACTTTGTGCGATCCGTGAAAAAAGTAGCCTCCCACGCAGGCGTTTTAAGGGGAGCTCGTTTTTCATCCCTCCTGGATCGTTTTTCATCCCTCCGAGCTCCCCTAAAAACGCCTGCGTGGGAGGCTATGAAAAAAGAGCCCAAAATCTGTCAGCTGGTATCCTGCGTAGCATGGCGGTTCTAGTCGGACGAGCAAACAAGCCAAAGTGGGCGAAGGTGAGCGAACGCTTTTGCGGGTAGTGGGCCCAACAAAACCGCCATGCTAGGCTGGCTAATCAGCTGGATGTACGAATTGCCGTTTTTCACTGTCACGCCATCAAAAATGAGAATCAAAAGCGCAAGGTCAAGCAATATACCGTATTTATTCGAATAAGCGCTCAACCTAGAATAAGCGCCCACCTCGAATAAGCGCCCACTCTCCAAAAATTTACTAAGCGCCCAGGGCGGTTAATCGAATAAATATGGTAGAACTGCTTCCGACAAAAAATTTGCGCTGGACAAAAGAAACAGAAAAGCAAAGTTAAGTAAAAAGTTTTTCAAGTATCAAATTACTAAAAGTACGGTCGGGACCCGGATTATCAAGCAAAGAGTATACGCTTGAAAACGAACTCTACTAGTTCTCTCCAAAATAGCTAAAATAAAATAAACTATGAAGAAATCAGTTTATTTCCTATTATTTACCAAATCACGCAATAGTCGTAGAACAGTCAATAAAGTAACAAGGAGCTGCCGTTTTTGGTTTGTAAAACAAACTTTTCTACCACACAATCATTTTATATAAACAGTAGGCACATCAGCTAGATCCTGATCTCAGGTTAATTATAGATTCATCTTTCAGGCACAAAAAATCGGTAGGACATTTAAAAGCAGAACAAAATTTCCCGCAATGGCGGATAAGATCAGCCTGGTAGGATGACCCAACTGAATTGTGAAGAAATTCAGAAGAAAGGAGAAAGGAACTTTATCTGAAGATCAACCAGATTGTTACCCTGCAAACAGAGTCTCTTTCAATCTTCCTAGAGGAAAGATCGAAGCGACCCTGCTAGCAGGGTACCAGATTGTGCGGTCGTTTGCGGGATCTAAAAATAAAAATAAAACTGTAGAAGTGTCACGTGCTGTTGCACCAATTACGCTCCACAATGAGCTAGCGCTCTTGCTGGAACATAATTAACCCATTGACTTGAAAATCGTCCACTTCATTGACGATGATCATTCCCACAAACGAAAATGCAGAGTTTGATTTAATACATCTACAACAGAAAAGGGACAATGGCTTTCCTTCCTTTTGGATAATCTTTAAATTCTTTGCGATAGTTTCGGTGTTTGCCTATGGCCCATACTGTCATCTGGTAGAATCCAAACAAGGTGAATAAAACCGCTGAAAGAGAAAAAAAGAAACCGTCATGTTAAACAGATAATGCTTAGGACGATTTTCGTATGACCTTGAAGAGGGGTCCTTGAAATAATGGTTTCCGTAAGTGTTCGTTATTTGTTTCATAAGCCAGTGGATGAAAAGATCAAAACACGAACTCTTCGTTTTCCCGTCAAAGAAAACCCTTATATATAGAGAATGCATGGTTCGATCGGCCAATCGCGTTGCAGTATGACGTCAAAGAGAAGTATCGATTGATTTCTAGAAACTTCTCCCGCACGAAGTTTTTTCAGCCGAGCGTTCGCTTACTGTTTCTTGCTGTACAAGGTGGTTCTAACATTTGAGTCTCTGGATCAAATCCTTAAGTGTTACCATTCAAATAAAAGCTACTGAGCAGTACTTTCCTGTGGTTGTGATTACGTTGTGCAAGGTAGTTCTAACTTTTGAGTCTGTGGATTAAATCCTAAAGTCCCTGACCATTCAGTTGCAAGTTAATGAGCAGTACTTTCCTGTGGTACTGTTAATCATGCTGTACAAGGTGCTTTCTAACTTTTGAGTCTGTGGATAAAATTATTAAGTGTGCCCATTCGAACGAAACCTACTTAAGGTTATACCTGTTAATGTCTGCGTCATCACAGAAAATGCTATCCAAGAGCCGGCCTGAAGAAAAAAAAAAGATAAAATCAAATCGTTACTTTCATCTCTCATCTAGCAGAAGTAAAGAGGGAGAACAACTATGGTTTAGCAATAAGCCTTCAAGCTTCTTCTAAAAGGAAAATGACTCTGTGCGTGTATTGGACAGTTTTGGTAGAACCAGATAATGGCTGTGGAGCAGACTAGTAGATGAATGGATCGGGTGGGTTTTGTTTTCGGTTAAACTCTGTGTTTACTTACACATTCTAAGGACCTGTTATACAAAATTACTTGACTCAGAAAATGGGTGGGGAAGGGGGGGGGGGAGGAGAAGAATAAAGGATAAAGCAAGCCAGTCTAGTCTTCGATGTTTTCTCTTTTCCGAAAGACCCCACTTTCTGCTCAGAAACACGCATATACACGCGTGTAGCCAATAGTCAGCAGTGGCGGATCCACGCCCGGGTTGTTCAAACGTTGGAAAGCGCTATCCACCAGGCCTTGGTTGTTCAAACGTTGGAAAGCGCTATCCACCAGGCCTTGGTTGTTCAAACGTTGGATAGCGCTATCCACCAGGCCTTGGTTGTTCAAACGTTGGAAAGCGCTATCCACCAGGCCTTGGTTGTTCAAACGTTGGAAAGCGCTATCCACCAGGCCTTGGTTGTTCAAACGTTGGAAAGCGCTATCCACCAGGCCTTGGTTGTTCAAACGTTGGATAGCGCTATCCACCAGGCCTTGGTTGTTCAAACGTTGGAAAGCGCTATCCACCAGGCCTTGGTTGTTCAAACGTTGGATAGCGCTATCCACCAGGCCTTGGTTGTTCAAACGTTGGATAGCGCTATCCACCAGGCCTTGGTTGTTCAAACGTTGTATAGCGCTATCCACCAGGCCTTGGTTGTTCAAACGTTGGATAGCGCTATCCACCAGGCCTTGGTTGTTCAAACGTTGGATAGCGCTATCCACCAGGCCTTGGTTGTTCAAACGTTGGATAGCGTTATCCACCAGGCCTTGGTTGTTCAAAGGCTGGATAGCACTATCCACAGTATAAATCTCTATCCAGTGGATAGTGCAATTAGTTTCCCTAATACTTATCCGCTGGATAGTGATTTATCCGGTGGATAGCACTATCCAACGTTTGAACAACCGGGGCCAGATAAATCTCTATCCAGTGGATAAGTATTAGGGAAACCAATTGCACTATCCACTGGATAGAGATTTATACGGTGGATAGTGCTATCCACCTTTTGAACACCTGGGGCCCTGACCTTCAGATAAGAGGGGGAGGGGGCGGTCATCCAGGGGGGAGGCGGTCTCAAAAAAGTATTTTTCAACCCTTTGGTCTTCAGTTTGGTCTAAAAATAAGGGGGGGCCGGCCCCCCCGGGCCCTTCGTATGGATCCGCCACTGAGTCTTCAAGTAAAACCAATCAGGGAGAAAAATGTTTTCAGTCAAACTTACCTCATAGGTGTAGTTAGGGCAGGATACAAATCTAAACAACTGTGTCAGGGGATTGGATGTAGGATATCTTCCTTTCTTTTGTACCTGCAGATGGAATTGATAAACAACTAGCACGGTGTGTGGCCGAGCGGTTAACACCTCAAACAACGGATATGGAGGTCTTGGGTTCAAGCCTCGCTCGTCGCGTTGCTTTCTTTAATAGACAAGGAACTTTACTCCACTGTGTCTCTCTTCACCCAGGTGTATAAAAGGGTACTGCCGGCATTCTGTTTGGGGGGGTGGGAGAGGGGGGTAACCCTGCGATAAACTAGCATCTTGTCCAGAGAGGAGTAGCAATACAAATACTCCTAGGCATGCTTGATGCTATGGAAACCAGGATAAGCTCCAGCCATTGGAGCCTTTAACTCATGTGCACCTTAACCTTTTTACCCCTAGTGTAGTGTAGTCTTTTGAGATACACTAGAATGAATTCAAACCAGGGAAATAATAATGGTATGCCCCCATTAGAGATCTGTAAATTGTTTCATCCACATTATTTTGTAAAAATGCTTTAACATATTATTATGATTTCAGCATTGCTTTTTTCCTTCATTAGGGTCCACCTTGTCCAGACCTTGCATCTGTTAGTCTTATTAACCATTTTTTTGTTATTTTTTGCACGCTTAACGCAAGTCCCTTATAAAATTAATAACTAATCAATAAATCAATAAAAAGCTTAAAATGTGAACTCGTGTGGATAATTTGCATCATTTTACTTGTCTCTATGTCAAAAACTGGTTACCATAACAACAGAGCAAGTGTGGCTTACCTGGAGGCCTCAAATCCCGCAAAGCACAGTGGATGACAAAGTTGCCATACTCGTTAAACTGAAAAAAAAAAAACAGTCAAACAAAGTGATTATAAATCATTTACCATGATAATCTTACCCAGTAATATCCAATTCAGATTATTTTCAGACACAGGTTAATTTCTAATGGTTTTAAAGGAGTTACTATCCACATAATTTTTGAAAATTCATTCAAACTATTATTATTAACTTACCAAGAACAGAGCTAAGCCTGTATACACCTGGGCATCACCAAACAGTAAATAAATTACAAGAAAAATGTTTGAGTTAAAAGTAAAAAAAAATGTTCAAATAATTGCAAATGCAGTTTGACGGTGCCTCCATCACAAAAAGACTTATTAATAATCAAAATTCATGGTTTGTAGCTTTAAAAAGAGTCAAAACAATAATATTATTCCAATAACAATCAAAGTAGTTAGAAAGTGTGAAAGTAAACATTGGTGTTCCTGTGGTGTGGACGGCCAGTTGGGCGGGTGGTCGGTCGGTGTATATTTACTAAGCTATGGGGCTCCGACCTTGTGCGTGCTTCGCACGCTTGGATCGAGCTCCGCTATTATTCCAATAACAATCAATGTAATGACCAGGTCACATAAATGCAAATCCAGTTTTTCAATCTTATTCTTGCCTAAATATTTATGTAAAAGCAGAACATGACAAAAAAATAGGGCATAATTATACAAAAAAGACAGTTTTGCAGGGCTGTCAACTCTCCCAGATAATCTGGGAGACTCCAGATTTTGAACCGTTTTTCCCGGTCTCCAGATTAGAGTCTGAAATCTCCCGGATAATCGCCAAAGTTTTCCATTTCTTGTAGAATTGACTTTGTGACAAAAAAAATATAACTTCAAATACATTGGATTGTTTGGGCTATTTTACTGTTAACATCGAACATTTCCTCACAAACTCTGGTATGCCATTGTAATATAAGCAATAATGTTATTGGTGCGAAGTAAGCCAATTAGGTCAAATGTTACAATTCCAACAACATCTTTTTCGCTTGTTTTTTTTCTCAAATGACATCATGTGACGTGTGCATTATGACTATCATCCCTCCCCCATCAATTCTCAATATTTGAAGATGTGGGGGGTTGACAGCTCTGGTTTTGACATGCATTCAAGTAACAAGTATGGGGTCATGCTTCCTTTGTTATCAGTAATTGCAAATCTACAGCGCATAATAAAATTGCATGTCAAAAATGAGTGAGAAAATTAGGTTTTTTCTCACGAGCATAAAATTGGCAACAAATGGGATGCGACATTTCAACCATGCCCAAATCACTTAATTTAAATGTCAACCTACATACTTGGTGGAGTATACAATGGATGATTAACAAAATAACCAACAAGGAGACCATAACCTCTGTAAAAAAAGACATATGGACAAAGATAAAAGCCTGTTAGGTACAACAGACATTGTATTTGTCTTTATGGGTTGATAATAGGGCTGCCTTTAATTTTATTGGATAGTTGTTACTTATTGGAGTTTGCTTTTATTGGGACAAACATGAAATCTTGATCACCACTTTTACGGAGTTCTAATAGTCTTGGATGTTTTAACCAATAATAAAATTGAAAATCAAAGAGGAAGGAAAAACCATGTACAGCTCAAACTATTACATTAAAAAACTGATAGCAAGAAACTGTCAGCACTATCAACGTGAACATTATTGTTTTCCCTATTGATTTAATGGGACAACAATTTTGACTTTCAAAGCTTTTTAGCAAGTAGGCAAAAAATAATTATAAAATAATTATCTTACCTTTAATAAGTACAGTTCTTTAGAATCCAAGCAGAGAATGAAAAGAAAAGAGAAAATTGCGTCAAATACACACTGCACACAACAAGTTCATGAATGGAATAGATTTTTTAACCTAGGTTCCTTCTCAATTTCCTTTGTTTTCTACCTCTAACTAATGAATAATTAGGGTAAGGAGACAAAAAAAATTGAGAATCAACCTTGGTTAAAAAAATTTAATCTAAATTTAATTTTAACCTGTAACATACACATAGTACTGGAAATGATGACTTTTGTACATGCCAGGAGCTGTACAGCATGAAATAATTCATAACGAATGCATAGCGCAGTATGTATCAAGTAATTTCAGGAATTTAGTAGATTATTAATTCCAGTACTTGAAAGGGCTGCTCTAACAGCGAAAAGCCAGGTACTGCGGTCCTGTCACAGTTCTCCTCCCCCAAATGAAAGATAGACCTCACCAATGGGGTCTATGTCCCCTACTCTTTCCAAACAGCAGTGTAGAGCTTTTTTTTGCATTTTTATAACTAAGGAAGCATGAAGGAGACATGGCCAATGGCTTTAAACATCAAGCTGCATAATGGTGCAATCATCTGGACTAAGGCAAGATCTTACAATAATAAGAAATTTTATAGATCACAGTCATCATAGCGGAGCTCTTGCACGCGATGTGCGCGCAGCAGAGCACCATGGGTAAAAAAATGTGGTAAACTACCCACCCAAGAAAATTTGGTAATCATGTGACCGTACACCAACTGCCCACCCGCCCGACCGTCCGTCCACACCACAGGCATACCAATGTAAAATAATTTAATCAACAGGTATGGCAACCCAAATGCAACTCAAGGTTTTATTTGGAAAGAAATCGCATGGCCGCCCAGACTTTTAGAAAGAAAAAACAACAACAAAGTCGTGTCTTTTTCGATGTTATTTTTGATGTTTACACTCACGTGGATAACAGAGAAAGAGCTAGAATGAGTGATTGAAAACAAAAGAGATGAATTTTGTAGGAAGAAAAACATGAAAATTCAAAGCGGCTGTGAGACAATGAAAAATCATAGCGGCCAGCAAGGAAAAAATGAGCGGCAGTGAAAAATAAAAGCGAACATGAACACAGGAGACAAAACATTGGGTAAGCACATACGACAATTCCTCTATAAAAATAATGTGTAACTAGGAAGTTTGACGGATTAGTCCCACAAAACAGCGCTATAGTTGTGCAAAACAACGGCAAAGAAAGACAAAAAAAAGGCATTTTTTTTTTGGCTAATTACAAAAAAGAGTGTGCTGCACATGCAATTTGTTTTTTTGCTAATTAGATCTATTGATCTTGATGCCATTTTCATTGCCCTCCCCGTTTAGCATTACACAATTCACGATTTAATTTTTTTTGTTTACAAGTATTATTAACCAGAGCTTCGCTTTTAGCCCTGGCTAAATCTATATATTAATCTTGCCAGTTTTTTTTTTTTTAATATCCTGATTGGTAGTTTGGTCGGGGGTTTAACCTGCCATTTCCCACTTGGCAGACTGGTACTCATACATTCAACTGAGCCAACCAGGCAGCAGCGTAAGATCCCACAATATCCAATGGAGTTTATAAAACCAGCCATAAACTTACTGCACAACACAGGGTGCAAAGAGAATCGTTTTTACAGCTTGTCATTTGGGCAAGCTGAAGCTAGCATTTACTAGCCCACATGTCATTTCAACTAGCCCCAAAAACTTTTTGACCAGCAGAATTGACTTCATAGTTCTTCTGTTATTTGAATTCCTTATAAAACATCACTTGCCCGTCGAGCAAGTTAAAAACAGAATTCACTGGCCCAATAGCAAAATCCACTAGCCTAAGGCTATCGGACACTACTTTCTTTGCGCGCTGCAACAGGATCATAAGGTTTGCTTGCTGCTGCTGCACCGTAGACAATAGAAGGACGGGGGTACAGGAGCATGTAAAAGATGAGGGGACCAGCATACTCAGCCAAAATACCTATAAATCATACAAAAGAAGGTAATGATGAGTACTACACCGTTTGCTCTTCAATTAGCCCACCAGTATAACCTGAAGAAACTCTGAGAGTCCAAGGTCACGCATGTTTCTGGCTCATGCATGACCCTTTGCCACTTGCATATCACAATAATTAATGTGCAGGCAAGCACTCAGGGGAGGGGAAGGGAGGAGAGGGAGGGGCTTTGGTGGTGAGAAAGAGGTACATGTCCACTGAAGGCAGGTTTGTTTTGCAGAAATAATTTTAGGACTCGTCACTGTACTGACACTTGGTAGTTGGTCAACACCTGCAGCCCTGGTTTCAAAAGGTGGACAACACTATCCGGTGCGTACACGTGAAATAATCTCTTTCCATTGGTTTCCGCTAATACTTATCCACTGGATAGTGATTTATCCACTGGATAGCACTACTTAGCATTTAAATAACTGGGGCCTGATCAATCAAATTATTGGGTCCACTTTAAAGGTTTCACTATTATAGTGTAAAATTGCATAGCCTCATCTCTCAGGGGCGGATCCAGGATTTTTTGTAGGAGGGGGTGCACTCGTCTCTTGCTCTACTTCAACACCAATAAACAGAATACCAGTTTTCTTAGAAAACCGCAGGTCATCTCAGGGGGGGGGTGCACCCCCCTGCACCCTCCTCCTAGATCCACCCCTGTCTCTGGTTATGTGGCACCAGTAAGGCAGGTATAAAATTATTGTTGGTAAAATCTGTTTTCCGAACCCAGAGCAGACAGTGGAATAGGTTAAGTACTGGTTAAACTAACAATAGATCTTTAACCTACAACAACCATTCTTTGTACAAATTATTCAACATTTATGCAGGCATACATCATCCGTAACATGTATAAAAAAAATTACCCTTGATTTACACAAAAAAGATGAAACCTTATTGTAGCATACATGTAACCATTGTGCATAATTTCCACGTAAATAATTCTAACAAAAAGTTCTTACCATTTTCCAGCTTATCTAAGGACCTGAGAATTAAATCAAAGTAACAATTTTTATTGTTGTGTGTTGCAAAAACCACCTTCCTTTAATTACACTGTTCTTTTATTTAGTTAAAACAGATCAAGAAGAAATACATAAATTTATGTAATCCCAAACTTCGTTAACTGTATGATTTCAAAACATACATGTAATATTAAAAAAGAACCAATTAAAAATACGTACTACACCTAAAGGTTTCATTTAAATGGACTAAACAAAAGACAATACTAATTAAAATAAATTTATGTATTTTTTGGATGTACATGTACTATAATACTATATAATTTTTGTACATGTTTTATTAGATTTTAAGCATTACAGTTCTGAAGCACATGTACAGGTATGATTGTCCTAGAACAATATAGAATCCTACCTAAGTCGTTTAAGTACAATCTTCCTCCATCTTTTACATCAAATGATTCTAATTTATCCTCATCCTTTGAGGACTTAATTCCTCCTTTAGAAAGAAAAGAATAATAATAGAAACAAAACATTAATTGAAGAACACGTACAAGTCTAACAGTACTCTGTAAAAAAAAAATTCTTGCCATGAAATTCCAAGGAGATACCAACAATCCCATTTTGGCTGGAAACCTCCTGTTTTTGGGGAATATTTCTGGCCTCTCATTTTTGCTTAACTCTTGAGATTGGAGTACTTGTATGCAAAGTCGTGAACATGAAAATAGGCATGAAAACGGAACAGAGTTTGTCCTCTCAGAACATTAGAAATGATGTTTCAGAACATCAAGATTTCAAAATTTTCTGGGGAGCATGTTTCCGACCCCTCTAGTGGCTCATGCCTTTGGTGTCTGTGTGATTCATCGGTGCAAATTAAAGAAACCTCCCATTTTACATACTCAAAAAGGTTGGACACTCTGAAAAAGAAAACAAGGTAATTGATGCTTGGCATGAAATACTGTATTATTTACCCCGTGCCATCACTGTCCTGCGTAAAAGGAATATTTACGAAATTTGTAATCAGTTTAGAGTTGTGAAACATGTACATGTACAGCGTAGGACACCCTTTACGTAAAGGATTCTACACTCCTTCTCCCAAGAGATGTTCTACCCCTCTAACTATGATTAATTTCATATCACACACCGAATATCATTGGTTGAGTGGGTCACTGTGCACACGCAAATAAACCTGCTGCCTCATAACCTGGCATTTCTTGGAATTTTTCATAGTTGTTGTGGAGCAAGGATCATGGATAAGCTTTAAAAATGCACAGGCACAAAGGAATTGAAGGCTCAAAGTGAACCGTGACTATCAGAGAAAATTCCAAGAATTGCATTGGTATGAGGCAATGAGTGGACTGATTGTAGCATGTGCTGTCAGTTCTCTGCTGATGTCTGAAATTGTGGCAAATATATGAAGTTAAAAGAGGACATGACTGTATGTTGGTCAATAATATCGTTGTCCTCTCATCTTCATATTTCTTAAATTCAATCAGAAATCTCCAATGCACAAGGAGATTTTGTAATAGGTAGTAGACATATGCTATTATGCGGTTAATTATGGAAATGACGCATGAAAAATTCTTGTGAGCATAAGCACAACATGCGTTACCCTGCAAGCAGAGACTAAATTTTCAGCTCATACCGCGAAAATGTAGTCTCTGCTCGCAGGGTAAGCATGTGTGGGGATGCATAAGAAAGCAGGAAGATCAACTCATGCCGTAGGTTGTTAAGGTGACTCGACCCAGTTTTTTTTGGGGGGTACCATCCTACTTTGAAGCTCTCTGGTATCCCCACCTTTACTTTTATCGTAAGTCTAACACATAGAATGGATAACATATAGATCAATCTACAATATAACATAAAATTTTTGGCGATTGGAGTAAATGTCACGTGGCTATAATGCCACGCCCCTTTGAGGTCTCAGTCGAAAATCTGCTGTTGCCGGCATTTTTTCGTGAAAATCTCTCGGCTACACCTAGTGCGCATTAGTGCCTTACGCTGAACAGAGTTTCACCAAAATCGCAAAGACCCAATTCAAGAAATTCAGCGGTTTCCAAATTTAGGTCATAATTTATGCGAAAATGATAAGCAAACTTTACACGGATTATATCTAATAAACTATGAGATTCATCTCTTTATTTTGGGCATCGTTATAACAGATGGGTCCTTGCAAGTCAGCAAAACGCTTTAGGGCCTTGTAAATGCGCGCGATTTTGAGCAAAGCAAACATATAGAAATTATAGTTTTCGCTATTTGTTGACGTTTGTCAGCGTTTAAGAGTCCTTCTCACAAAAAAAGCATTTTCTTAAAAATTCGTAGTTTTTTTCCCTTCAAATTTTTTCAGGGCCACAATTGATTTACTAACTACCCGGACTCTGAATTTCATGGTGATTGAAAAACTGTGACATTATCTTCTATAAGCCCAAACTTGAGTAAACATTGAAGATTTTTAGCGTTTTGGCTGAGTTTGTGCTTTGGGAGTTGTCTATTGTTTCTAGTCTGTCATTATACAGCATTCTTGTTCAGCACGCGTGCAATGACCACGCTTGGCTGACTTCCGAATGCTCACCGAGATATTCCCGTCACGACTTGGTTTAATTATTGGCTTGCATTAAACCTATGAAAAAATGATATTTTTTTAATAGTAAGTAGATTTAGTGTGTAGCACTTCTTGATTTTTTTGATTAAAAATTGTGACTTAAACCTCTATGTATCACGCGATGGCCTGTCTCACTGTACCAAAATTATTATACCTCGGTGAGCATTCGGAAGTCAGCCAAGCGCGGTCTTTGCATGCGTGCTGAACAAGAATGCTGTATAATGACAGACTAGAAACAATAGACAACTCCCAAAGCACAAACTCAGCCAAAACGCTAAAAATCTTCAATGTTTACTCAAGTTTGGGCTTATAGAAGATAATGTCACAGTTTTCAATCACCATGAAATTCAGAGTCCGGGTAGTTAGTTAATCAATTGTGGCCCTGAAAAAATTTGAAGGAAAAAAAACTACGAATTTTTAAGAAAATGCTTTTTTCGTGAGAAGGACTCTTAAACGCTGACAAACGTCAACAAATAGCGAAAACTATAATTTCTTTATGTTTGCTTTGCTTGAAATCGCGCGCATTTACAAGGCCCTAAAGTGTTTTTGCTGACTTGCAAGGACCCATCTGTTATAGCGATGCCCAAAATAAAGAGATGAATCTCATAGTTTATTAGATATAATCCGTGTAAAGTTTGCTTATCATTTTCACATAAATTATGACCTAAATTTGGAAACCGCTGAATTTCTCGAATTGGGTCTTTGCGATTTTGGTGAAACTCTGTTCAGCGTAAGGCACTAATGCGCACTAGGTGTAGCCGAGAGATTTTCACGAAAAAATGCCGGCAACAGCAGATTTTCGACTCAGACCTCTAAGGGGCGTGGCATTATAACCACGTGACATTTACTCCGATCGCCAAAAATTTTATGTTATATTGTAGATTGATCTATATGTTATCCATTCTATGTGTTAGACTTACGATAAAAGTAAAGGTGGGGATACCAGAGAGCTTCAAAGTAGGGTGGTACCCCCCCAAAAAAACTGGGTCGAGTCACCTTAACACCATAAAATGTCGGCTGTTTTCTTAGACTAGGGTAAAATATGTTGTACAGTATTTTTCTCCTTTTGCCTTAAAATGCGTCGAAAAATCGCTCGAGTTCAAAAGCTTAGAGAGAGTACAGCGTTCTTGACAAGAAAGGTTCAAGAATTTTTCAATCTACATTTAGTCAGTTTAGTGTCAGATTTTGGAACCGAACAGTTAAGGTCGCAGCATTTTGTTAAAAGGTCGTTCCACCATCAGTGTTTAGAGTTAAAATATGTAGCTCCTAAAAGAATTGTTACCAATAAGTAAGCTTATTATATATGACACTAGGCTGAACTTACACAGCTTCATGGATTTGATTTCCTTTGATGTGAAAGAACTAGAGGCTGTCCTAGAGGCTACTGTCATCATTTTGTCAGCGGTTTCACAGAAAGTAACGCAAGTGCAATAACCGTATATAGGAGTCTGTTACGTCACGCACAGTAGTCAGCCCAATTTCAGACCAATCATAGACCATTATCAGGAGCTGCCATTATATAATCTCTATTAGATATTAGAAATCAATAAACAGAAAAATACAATACATTAAAAATAAAAAAAATGAACGCAAGCAAAAGTGTAAAAAAGCAACAACGAGGGCATATGCTACACAGGACTCCCATGTATAAAGCCAAAACGCTCTCCAACAACTCCATATCCAACATTGAACAACAAACTTAAACATGCCATCATTAAGCATTAAAAACTATTTTAAACTTAAGGAACTTAGCCTCTTACGATGCCTGCCTATCTATCATCTCATTGAGTTCACTAGAGCAAAGACGCTCTGAACAATCGCTGATGGTAGTTTTCCAAAGTTTTGGGATGCTTGGCCCCACAGGCCGCCCAGACTATGTGGGATTTCGTTAGACTTTGAATTTATAAGAAAATGTGTGAAAATAAACAAAGTACGTCCTATGTTCCACTTTTTGACAAAACTGAATAGAAATTAAAATGACTCACCTTGTGTTTGAGTTGTACTACGATAAAACGGCACAGCTCTACCCAGACCCCTTGAGTGCTCCCAGGGCTCCCACTGTCCAGCAATTTAGTATTAATGAAAAATGTAAAGTATAAATGATGTCAATGTACGAGCTGTATCTTGTAGCTTTGTCTTAATGCAATTACATAGTGTTAATAGTATTGTATTTTTATTTTTTACCCCGTAGGTTCCTTTAGCTTTAATAAGGTCCAGTTGTAATTGTGATATAATGGATATTTTATAGGATCTTTATACCCTATTTGTGAAAATTATCCATTATTCAATTATATTTTTGTTACTTGTTCTACTTTTATTTTTTTTCCTTCGGTCGAGCGTTTTATACATGAGAGCCTGGCTCGAGAGACTGGGCGACCACTCCCCACGTCATTGACGATAAATAAAGATTACTTATATCCCATGATAGTTTTATCACTTTAGCAGGCGCCTGTAAGGTATAATCTTGATCCCGAAATACCCTAAGGTCTAACGCCTATCTAAGCGAGGTTAAATGGGGTGTCTTAACCCCTTGTACGACAGGAGAGTCAGATGCGCAGCACCTTCTTACATCAAATAGGTATCGAGTACACGCATCGAGGTTGGGGAGAGTTCTGTTACTAAACAACATCAACAAACGGTTCAGTAAATTCGTGTCGGAAAGATTCCCATGTGAAAGGAACGTGGACACTTGTCGGAGAGTTGGTGTAATAGCCCCTAAACTGAGGTGGTACAGAAGACCAATCTGGGTGTGGCATTAAGGTTTATTAAATTGACCACTCAAAGATGACATATAACAAATAACCAAAAAAAAGAGAGAGAGAGAGAGAGAGAGAGAGAGAGAGAGAGAGAGAGAGAGAGAGAGAGAGAGAGAGAGAGAGAGAGAGAGAGAGAGAGAGAGAGAGAGAGAGAGAGAGATTAGGAAGTTTGATTTCCATGAAGGAGGTTCTTCATATCAAATGCTTCTTTCATCTATTTCCCCTCTTCTGCTTTGAATGAGAAATAGGTTTGGTATCCCAGGGTACCCCTCATTCAGAAACCCTTTGAAAGTAGTTCTCTTTATGTCTCCTGAAGGGAAGTAGCTCGTATGCACCAAGAGCCCCTGACTTCTGGTATTAAAGAACAGAAACTAATTCATTGCTGAACCTGAAGATTAAATAATCGGGGCAGTCTATACACGGATGATAGCTTATAATATTGTAATAGTTCGACCGATTGTAGGGGAACTAGCTCGCCACTCAGTCAATACTTTGTTCATCACTTCTCTGTATTTTCTTCCTTCTTCCTTATTACACGTTTACTATGCTATAGCTTAATGTTAAGCAACTCTCTGATCTTAGTTCTAGCGCTTTTATGTGCACACAGCCGAGTTCACAGTTTTAGGCGCGAACTGCAAGTTCAGTCGATGAATTTCGAGGGAGCAGCTGCGCTAAGTTGATACGTCATTACAAGGACAACCTATTTCCGATATTTTGGATGCTGGAACTCGACTGTTTCTCAAAAACACAACGCCAGAGACTTAGGAAAAATTACAATGATCAGTTTGATCTTAAAAACTTTCTTACAAGTTCAGTAGAAGTAACTTGACTAAGATTTACATTTTCCCTCAGTTTACAATATTTGCTTCAAGTAATAAACAAATTGAATGTGGAAAAGGCGTTCTTTAGAGTAAGACAGCTGAACGGATCACTATTTCAATAAGTATCTTACAATCTTAACGAACAATTCACAAGATATATTTTGAATTAAACAACTCAACGAGCTAACACTCTCTAATCAAACAGGACGGACTCAAAAATGGGTTTCTTTCCGAAAGAAGGTGTTGACGAGACTTTTTCAATAGAATATCAGTTCCGAAGGTGTAAGCGGCTTTCTTTACGCAAGGAGGAAAAGACAAACCATAGGAAAGATCAATAAAGAGCTTAATATTCTATAGAAATATTTTAGCCACAAACTTTAAATCAATCCGTAACCGTCTTTATCCATCCGGTTACGGGAACACGAAAAGTATCGTAATAAATTCCTTCGTTAAAATCATCCCCGAGAAGGTACACTTTTAACACTAAAAGACTGTTAGGATCTTTCCTATAAAAAATACTAGTTACTGACTTAACACCGTTTTAGCTAGTATAATTTCGGAAATGAAAATACTTTATCGAGAGTATTTTGAATTCAGTTAAGAGAGAGACTTGTGCGTGATAGCGGTAACCAATTTTGTTACTGCGTCGTCAGAGCATTCTGCCACACCACTTATTTTCAGTGTTTGTAGAGCTAATAATTCAGACAGCGACTGACCAAGCGCCTCCGCCAGTGCTGACGTCAGGTGGATTTCACTCAGTTCCACTTTCTCAAGAGGCTTGTGCTTAGCAACGTCAATCATTCTTGTTACAGCATCAGCAGAGAATTCAGTCACGCCACTTATCTTTAGTTCTCGTAATACTAGTAACTCTAACTGCAAATTGCATCCATCCGTGCCAGTAATCTCTAGGTTTTGTAGGGATGGCAATTCAGACAGCGACTGACCCAGCGCCACGTCGGGTTGATTTCACCCAGTTCCAGTTTTCGAGAGTCTTGTGCTTGATAGCGGAAACCAATCTTGCTACTGCATCATCAGAACATTCTATCAACCCACTTACTTTCAACGTTCGTAAAGCTGATAATTCAGGCAGCGACTGACCAAGCGACTCGGCTACTGCTGACGTCAGGTGGATTTCACTCAGGTCCAGTTCCTCGAGAGTCTTGTGCTTGATAGTGGAAACCAATTTTGTTACTGCATCATCAGAGCATTTTATCAGGCCACTTCATTTCAATGTTTGTAAAGCTGATAATTCAGGAAGCGATTGACCGAACGACTCGGCTGCTGCAGTCGTCAGGTTGATTTCACTCAGTTTCAGATCTTCGAGGGTCTTGTGCTTGATACCGGCAAAAAGTCTTGTTCCTGCTTCAGCAGAGCAGAAAGTCACGCCACTTATCTCCAGTCTTCGCAAGGCTGATAATTCAGGAAGCGACTGACCGAGCGACTCGGCGGCTGCAGTCGTCAGGTTAATTTTACTCAGTTTTAAATACTCGAGGGTCTTGTGCTTGATACTGGCAAAAAGTCTTGTTCCTGCTTCAGCAGAGCACAAAGACACGTCACCTATCTCCAGTGTTTGCAAGGCTGATAATATTTAGACAGCGACTGGCCGAGCGACTCGGCTGCTGCAGTTGTCATATTTATTTTACTCAGTTCCAAATACTCGAGGGTCTTGTGCTTGATATCGGCAAAAAGTCTCGTTCCTGCTTCATCAGAGCATAAAGTCACGTCACTTATCTCCAGTTTTTGCAAGGCTGGTAATTCAGACAGCGACTGGCCGAGCGACTCGGCTGCTGCAGTTGTCAGGTTTATTTTACTCAGTTCCAGATGCTCGAGGGTCTTGTGCTTGATACCGGCAAAACGTCTTGTTCCTGCTTGAGCAGAGCATAAAGTCATGTCACTTATCTCCAGTTTTTGCAAGGCTGATAATTGACACAGCGACTGACCGAGCGACTCGGCTGCTGCAGTCGTAACGTTGATTTCACGCAGTTTCAATTTCTCAAGAGTCTTGTGCTTGCTACCGGCAAAACGCCTTGTTCCTGCTTCAGCAGAGCATAAAGTCACGCCACTTATCTCCAGTTCCTGCAAGGCTGATAATTCAGACAGCGACTGGCCGAGCGCCTCGGCTGCAGCAGTTGTCAGGTTTATTTCCTCAGCTCCAGATCCTCGAGGGTATTGTACTTGATAGAGGCAACCAGTCTTGTTACTGCTTCGGCAGAACATTTTGCCAAGGAAAGGGAAAGACGAATGACACGTTCAAACTTTGGCAACAAAGATGCAAGCTCTACTGCTCCCTTTGATGTTAAGGAACAATAACTGATAGATAAAGAGCATCTGCGAGGATTTGATACATGCTTTAAGATATGAGATAAGGAGCTATTACTGTATGAAACTTCAATGTGTTCCAAGTGATTACAGTTTTTGATGGCTGTACCAAGACTCTTCATTGAAATTTCAATGAAACTGCACTTCAGAGTTTTCAGAAATTTAAGACTTAAATGTCGTGAACTTTGATGTTCTGAATGAGAAGAAACAACATTGTCAGCGATTAGTCTGGCGTGGTTCTCGCAACACAGATGCGTCACGTGTGTGATGTATAAGTGGACCTGGCCATTACGGAAACAAAGTACAAAGGAAAAGTCACACCTACGACAATCAAATACATGCACGAATTTTTCTAAAAATTCTGCAACCTTGAGAACTTCAGAACCTTCGGTAATCAGTTTTTTAACGATCTCATAAAGTCTCAAGATTGTTGATGGTCTGTGGCCAAAATATCCGTGACTTTCATTCGAAACCAAAGACCACGTGTTTGTGTCAATCGTATCTACCAAGAGGTAATCAGGGAATGACTCTGAAACAAGAAGGATACTCCCAAGCGAATCCAAGCAAGCCCTGGAAAGCTCCCCTTTCAATTCAACCTCTTCAAATGCATTTGAAACCAAATCGCTGAATTTCCTCTGACGATCAGTGACGTCACTCAGTGGCGCATCTGTCTCGCTTTCTTCGTCCGGAACTGTCTTGGATAAATCCAGCAAAGGATCTGACATTCTGACAGACTTCAAGTGCCTGAAAGTCGCTAATGCTCCATTTCGACTCAAGCCACATAGAAATGGGAAAACATTCTCTAAAGCCATGCACTCCTCGAATTTCTTTGCAATTTCACCAAGATTTCCGCCTTCAAGTAAACATCTGTAGGTGATGTACCATGCAGCCAGAAACTCCTGTATGCTCTTGTGAATAAACGAGACCATTCCAACGGGTCGTAAGGCTTCTGTGTAATCAGTGATTTGAAGCAAACCGATAAAGACGCTTTCATCACAACGGACAGAATCGGATAACTGACTGTATTCAAACAAATGATCATCCTTCAGAAGACCTTGTAAAGCAACTTTCCCTATTTCACAGAGGATTTCTTTAAAAGAAGCCACTTCATGATATCCAGGTAGTGATTGCTCACTCTGGTTGTGGTCTAAAATAAATTGGACAATAGCGATATATAAACTAGTTTTAGTCTTTGGAAAGTGTTTTGACTGTCCCCTTTTCCACAACGTACAGAAAAACAGGAGAAGTAAGGGGACTTTAGCCAGTTCCTCCAAATTTCTCCTCTCCAAGTGATCTTGCAAGTTTGACACTCCCTCGCTATCAAGAAATCTTCGCATAAATTCTTCTCTGTCTACTTCGCTGAACCCTGTGATTTCAGCATGCAGGTCTTCACCTCCTCGTAGCTCGTCAGCTTTGGAAATACGAGTTGTAATTAATACGCAGCAGCTTCTCAGGCTATTTCCACTAAAAATCTCGTATATTTCTGAGTTGCGTCCAATGCGATATTCGTCGTAGCCGTCAAAGATCAGAAGAACTTTCTCTTGGTTGTTACTGATATAATCAACAAGGCCTTCTGTCATATATTTGTCCTCCTTTGCAAACACATTGGATAATCTTATGACTTCTTTAAGGCTTTGACATTTGGAAACTTCTTTGAGATTCACAGCAACCACAAGCTCAAAATTCTTCAGAACAGTTGCTTGCTCATCACCAGTCTTCTTATTAACGTCAACCCAGTCCACAAGCAACTTCTTAACAAACGTGCTCTTTCCAATTCCCGTCTGCCCTTGTACGAGTATTCTCTTTGGAATGACGCCGCTCTTGTTTGCTGTGAAAAGGACAGTGTAATGCTTCAGCTCAGACTGTGTTGTTTCAGCTGGAGTTTGTTCCTGTTTCACCCAGGAGAGTCTTGTGTAGATCTGGTGAATGTCAACGACGGATCTTTTACACCAAACAGAAGTGGGCACAGTTGCTGTTTTTTGGTAATGATCTTCTAGTTTGCTTCGACAGGACTTCAGGTCGAATGGTTGCAAAGATGATGCTTCTGATAGAGAATAAAAAAATCAATCAATCCCACCTTTGTGTAGCTGTACTGTACGTGTAACAACATTGTTTGGGCTTTTACAAGAAGCGAACTATACAGCTTAACTATTACACACTACGACTATAACTTAGTGGAAAAACTCATGAACACATAAAGAAAAAGAGAAAGAAATGTATTTGTAATTGTTGTCTTAAAATCTGATATGTCGAGGCCGAGATTTTAGCTCCGAGCTTCTAGAAAAAAAAAAGCCACCATGTCAACCCCGCAATTCGCGTTTCAACAATTCTATGATATAGACTCAACGGTGCCTATTGTTTTAAACTACAAAAACATTACTACTCGTATAAGGATTGGTTTTAGTAACTAATTTGATAGGGTAGATCGATCTCGGTAGGGAGATAGAGAAGCGAAACGTCAGCTTCTCCGTCTCTCACGGTTCTTTAATATCTAACCAATTACCGTTGAGCGGTCAGATTTGGAAGATGTTTTCTAAGACGCGATAGCCGTTACGATGCAGCCCGAGATTTTACACGTTTTGCGACGACAAGATAGTCGAATTACTTTCGAAAACATAGCAAAACCGGCAAACGATGCTTTTTTACGAATATCTGCAAAACTTAACATCCCTTTAAATCCTGAGTTTGGCGAGGAACAGACAAATATTATGAAGACAAGGATTGAGGTAAGCATGTTTTAAGTGAGAAATAATCTGAATGAATAATGAAACAATTGTGAGTATTGTCGCCAACTCCTATGAAAATCGTACAAGGTCGTGACGACAAACTTGAGACGAGTTTAACCTGACTTTCACTTTAAACTACAACATTAAAATAGAAAACTCATCACAGAACCTGACAGGGAAACCTTTTGATGAATAACTCAAAATCATTGGTCTTGTTATCACAAACTTAGCTTACCTATTCTTTCATTCTGTGCTTTGAAAGACAGGAGCTTTTCCAAAACCTTTTCAACCTCTTTACTTCTGTTCTCTGCCGCTGCCTCCTTCTCTTCCAGGGCTCCAAGACGTTCATGATGTTCAATCATTTGCGATCTGATAGCATTGCACCCCTTGACGAGATCTCTCACTTCATATTGTATCAAAAGGAGAAGATCTTTGTCCACGGCATGGCCCAAGATTAAGTCACAACCTAAAATTAATAAAAATAAATGAAGCTTACAGTTGTAAAGTAATTTTCGCCCCATGTAAGGGAATACAAGGCAGTCTTGGATTCTGGATTCCACGTCAGGGATTCCGGATTCCTGGTACTGGATTCCAATCGCTAGGGCGATTGTGGATTTTTTGTGCTGTATTCCGGATTCTAAAGCCCAGGTTTCCTTTTTCTACATGCCAATTTTTCCCAGATTCTGGATTCAATAAGAAAAATTTCAAGGATTCCGGAATCCGGAGTCCCTTACATGAGGCGATGTTTTAACATGACTCTGTTAACTATTTTGCTCCTTACTCATGGTGGACCACTTTTTGAAGTTCAACATGGTCCTGTGCTAAATTGTATTTTGAACCACTTCAGATGTTAACCTTATTTTTAATTGACCTACTGTACAGTGTAGATCCTCTGCTAAACTCTACCTGGTATATGTTGAGGACCCTTTACTTGACCCCAAACTGAACTAACTATAAATAGCTCATAGAGCTAGATAACTCAGTTTTGACTGACACTTTTGACAATTTTTCACTTTTTGCCTCTGAGTGAGAACCTGGTACAGACTTAATCACCTACTGCTGTCTGTTATGTAATATACGTTGTACATGTTAAATTTATAACGTTTATTGATAATTTCTTTTGACTAGGAATAAATAACCTTTTGTTTGCCAGTCGTCCAGCTGATCCAATGTCTCCTTCTCCACACTTGCTGGCAGTCCCAGACTCCTCACCAATGTCTTCAGCTTGTCAAAGCAATCATTAAGGAGAGCATCTGTCCACTCAGTTACATCAACATGGCCCCATTTGTTTCTGACATTTTCCCTGACATCATCGGCTGAGGCCTGGGAGTGTGGGGAGAACACAGCGGCAGGCATGTAGTTCCTAAATCCCAACAGACGAAGGATGGCAGTCATGTCCAGTGAGTCATCAAAGGCTGAAAACTGAGCCAGATAACCTGGCAGGTATAACTTGGCCAAATCTAAAGAGCTATTGATGTTGAAGTTGTAGTTGCATACACCATGAACAAGATGATTGTTGTTTATATTTTGAAATTTCAGGTTCTTCAAGATAGGATCTGCTCGGACCACACCATGACTTAATGTCTTTAGAGTACAAGGTGGGTGGAGAAGTTGACAGTGTCTGTCCAGATTTGCATAGTTGGCGTCCATTCCTTGTTTGACAGCATCTCGCAAAACAGGAGCAGCAACTTTGTTCATGGCAATTCCCACAACAATCCATCGTTTCTCTTCATCAGAGACCATCATCTGTATAAACAATCATGGGTTAAATTAAAATATAAACGATGATAAATTAAACCTTTTAAATCCCTAATATCAACAGAAAAAAAACTTCTCTTCTTTTCCACAAAATATTTTAATATGGTATTGATGAGGAGAATTTAATGTTTGAAAATCAAAGCATTTCTAATAATCCTTCAGTTGGCAATCTTATTTTTCTTAAAAATATAATTCAGTTTTTTGATAAACATCTCAGTTTCTCTATAGTCACAAGGAAGGAAGGAAAGTAAAACTGAGTGTATAAAGTGCACATTCTTCTACTCTGACAGTTAAAAATTGTTTCAGAAACTCCCCAAAAAGTTCCTCTTTGCCTATTGGCCAGAAAAAGGCAGAAGCTGGGAATTCAATTGCATAGAACTGGTCTGGTAGAGTACAGTTTAGCCTGCAGTGCAGGCGTTTTCTTCTAGCACATGAATATTTTTGCTAGTGAAAGCGCCATGTTGAAACTCCAAAAGAGGTGAGGAAATGGGGCAAGTCAAGGAGAGCTGGGGAAGGGAGGCGGGGACAGAGAAGAGAAAACGCCTCCCTGAAAACACTGTGAAAATGAGAAACAGTCCCCCTAATTAGTCGCGCTTGGCCGCCGTTCCGGAAATGAGTTACTGATCGACTAATCAAAACCAAAGAATTATTGCACTGGAAGCTCCCTTCACCTCTGATCAGTATTCTGATCGGGTCAATTCTGATCGGGTCTATAACCCATGTGGCTGGAAAATTTGCAACTTGGGCCGGTTGTACCAGTTCATTAAAGCTGCAATTATATCCAAGGCAAGTACACTGGTTAAGAGTGGCAAAGATACTCTTGATACGCCCGACAAAGCCAGTCCAGCATGGAGAAATTCAATATCCATCCGTTTCAATTTGCCAGTGGTGAAGTCACCTTCGATCGAAGGTTCCACATCAGCTACTGAAGGCAAATCAAGAAAGTCTCTCTCCTTTTCTCCTTTGGAGAAAATTAAAGAACCTAAAAGCCTTATTTAGCCGCAATAAAGACCTCTCAGTGTGAAACAAGCCACGAAAGTCACATTTTCTCAGTCAAAACATTGAACCCTCTAGAGCATAATATACCCAGCAGAGAAAAAAGGTATTTAAACAAGCAGCATTTTGGCATGAGGTAAAAGTCGTGTGGGCCTACTGACCCCTTTTTACACTAATTTTTGATCTGCCATGCGGGTATTAATGTTCAAGGTGGAACGGAAGCTGAGTCAAGGTCAAAGCTCAGTTAGACAGAATGGCTGTACCATTCTTGCCATGACACAAAACAACTAAAGTTGATCTTGTAAAAGCATTAAGCTAAGTGCAAAGGCAACCTAGCAACTGATGAGTTTCGCGTGGACAACCTAAACCATGTTCTTGCCTGATCACAAAGTGGCAATAACTAAACAGTCACAAGACTGAGGGCTCAAGACTGTTAAGCTATTTCAAAAGCTTAATTTATTACCAAGGTAGGAACTATGCGCTCCAGTCCAAAGACTTACATTATCTTAAGAAAAACAAGCTGGAGTTTATCATTGCTTAAAAAACAATCTTGCCCGTAGGAAACGAGCAGATCTGTTTTTAGTCTGCTACAGATCTGTTGAAACATCTGCAGGAGATCTGCAGACAGTCTACAGATTATCTGCGAATTGTCTGCAGAATGTCTGCAGAATATCTGCAAAATGTCTTCAGAATGTCTGCAGAAATGAGCTGCAATTTGTGCAGACGTTCTGCAGACGAAGGAGGTATAAATAGTAAGCACAATAACAGACGTACTGCACCAATCAAACACCTTTTATTTTTATCGTAAATACATAAAATATTCTCTCAAATTGTGCCGAAAAAGCTTAGGATAACCGTTAACTACAACTGAATGCCTATCACTTTAGTAATAAAACAATGCAAACAACAAAATTAAAACGAGAGAACATTGAGAAGTCCCAGCTCGCGGGTATGAGAAACAAAATTAAATCACAACAATCTGGCCTGTAAACACACAGTCACAGTCACTCGCTTAAATTTCTTCAATGAATAACACATCAAAATGCTGACATTGAAATAACCGAGCTCAATAACAAAGACGGATTTTTGTCGGAGGCTATAAGAGAGGAAACGCAACTGTTCAATCACATGAATGCGGTTAATTCCTACGCGACGGTTTGGTTTGTAACACCCAGCGCTATTAGCCTATACTTCAAGTCGGTCACCTCTTCGTTTCCTGCATGATCCGCGATTAGTTGCATTTCTTTCAGTTTTTGCTATGTTCCGGGTGATGGACTAAACGGGCATGCATAACTTGAGCAAATAATCTTTGATCAAGACTCTTGCAACATAATGTTAATTCCTACGCAAGCGTTAGCCTGAATTTCATCCGATTACTTCGAGTCGTTATTACTCCCTCAGTAACGTCTGAATCGACCGGCCGTTAATGCCGTCCAGTGACGTCACTACTCCTTGACCTTTGCTTTAATTCATGCAAAAAGTAAAACACGATTTTCAAGTGGCAAACCGAGAAATATCGTTTGGAAATGTCTGCATGATACAGAACTGCTTTACTTTCTTCGATTGTAATAAATGTTTACATTCAAACTATCAACTGCATGCGGTACAACTCTGAACCGGTTGTACTAAATTCTATAATCAAACTCAGTCGCAATCACGCAATGAAATAAACACACACACGGAACACTTAGTTCAAAAACACAATGATTTGCTTTAATTGGAAAGAAGCTATTTGGTCCTTAACGAAGAAAAAAACAAGGAGACAAGAAAGAAAAGCTAACAGAATCATCACACTTGACGGTAAAAATAGCAAGAAGGTCGAATTATAACACTGATCTCAGAAAACTTCGCGTAAACAAAATCACCGGCCGCCGAAACCACAAAGCGGCTCTGAATGAAAAACCTACCGACTCTCCGCAATGATTCTTCATTCGCAGTTCAATTTAGCATTTCAGTTTCGAAGACAAGGGCAATTTTGCTGTTCAAGATAAAGATTAAGCTTATCGAAATGTTTGAACTAAACGAAAGAACGCCAGGGATGCGATCCCCTGAATATCAAATGACAATCCGCTAAAATTTTTCATAATTATACATAATTATGCGAATGTTTAGACAATCAACCAATCAAAATCACTACCCGGTTTTCGGGTAGTGAGTGACGTCACTGGACAGCATTAACGGCCGGTCGATTCAGACGTTGTTGAGAGGAGAAAACGACTCGAAGCAATCGGATGAATTTCAGGCTACGCAAGCGTCGTCTGTTTCCCATTCGTTGAGAGTCGCTTGAGGCACAGTTGATTTTTAACCAATACTTTTTCCATCTTCGCTCTATAAACAGCTAAAAACCTTTTTTAACTTTTTGAATCCAAACTGAACGCAAATAACTTGCTTAGTTAGCGAGAAACCGATTGCATATTTCATTCAAGCAGAAAAACGGTCGAGAGGAAGATGAGTAATAGATCTTCTAGTAAAGTGCGGACCAATTAGATTAAGTTCTGGAATGTCTCCAGGGAATTACCCGATCGCGTATCAGTCACGGAAGGTCTCCAAAGAATACATTTTTGAGATTTATTTTGAATTTACATGAATTTAAAACTCCATGTCCGTAAGATGTTATTTTGAGTTAAGTTTAACTGTAATGAACGATGAGGCACATGGCGTTCGTTTAATGTTGCTGTGTAAAACTGGTAAGTACTCAGTCATGTTTTTTAAAAGAAACTGATTTACCGGCAGCATTCATGAATGTACTTTGAAAAGCTACATAAGTCTTGAGAGTGAATAAAATAAAATGAAAATGGTAATTTTCCAACGCTTTTTATAATAATTGGATGGAGCTTATGTTTGAATTTATCGACAAAGCAGCGGATGGACCCGACCGGAGAGACATTAGTTGCCTGTTTCGAATTGATAAACATGCGCGCTAAATGAATTAAGACGGCTTACAGACTCTGCAGACTTCACAGATCATGTGCAGATCTGTTTTTCATCTGTTTCATCTGTTTCTCGTCTGCAGGAAAACATCTTTGTAGACGATGAAGGCAATGCGTCTGCTACAGACTGAAAACAGACTTTGCAGACGATAAAATGGTCTGTAGCTAGTCTGTTTTTCATAAAACAGATCTGTTGCAGATCTGCTGAGATCTGTTGGTTTCGTACGGGTGGCTGAGTCACAATGCAATTCTCCATAGCTGATGTAGCTTCAGTTTAAGATGCAATTCATTCTTCTAAATTTGGATCTGTAAATTGCTGTAAGAATTTAACATTGTGCAAATAAAACTAACAAGCTGGGCCCAGCGTAATACAACATTGCAGGAAAACATCACATTCACAGACTAAGGAAAATCGCTTAGTTATTCAGATCCTGAGTCACTTTAGAAAAAATTAAAGAACCTAAAAGCCTTATTTAGCCCCAATCAGAGCTTTACACTTCAAAATTGGTCAAAGAAATCGAAAATGCTCTTGCATCAGAGGGGAAATCATGCCGACCAGAAATAAAAACCACAGAAAATCAATAAGCGTGTCATGACCTCTCAGTGTGAAACAAGTGGTTAAAATTACATATAGAATTACATATAGAACCCTCCAAAGCGTAATCTACCCACCAGAGGAAAAACGTATATTTACACTAACATGGCCGCCGTTTCATTGTTTTGGGACACCAACAGACCACCGTGACGTCATGTGAAAACTCTATAAATAGACGAAAGTTGTGACTTAATGGAGCTGACGACCCATTCTGAAAATTCAACAGACACTCGCTCTCCAGCTTTAACTTTCTGAAGTCGCAGTGCATCACAGTATATGAGCCCAGTGCTGCCACCATCTCGGCCTTTACGAAGGTGGTCCCCACATTATAGCCATCAAGAGCAAGCTCAGCCCTGAAAGCGGCGTCTTTTTCGATAAGCCACGTTTCTGTTGTTGCTTAAAGATCAGCTTTTAGGTCACACAGGTAGTCCACAATCATCGCTGTTTTGTTTCTAACAGATCTGACATTCAGTAAACACAATGACAAAGAGCTTTTATAATGACGACTGAAGTCTGTTGGGCTGCACGCTAATGAGATTCCGTGGATTACGTCTCCAAATGCATTTGTTATTTCTGAAACTCTCGTGTCTAGAAACAACTGTTGGTATCGAGCGACTCAAGGGACCAGGATTCAGCTTTAAAACAAGATCACCAATCAATTTCAGATGGAAAGTTGCGTCAGAATTAGCATAGTATAAGCATGGGCAACCATGTCTCCTGGAAGGCAATTTACGCTTGACGCAAATGACATTCCGATCCACACAATTAAGACAAATAGTAGGATGGCTGGCCAAGTCGTCATTCCACGTCTCAAGGGGCAAAAAGTGATTCAACCCTTGAGCGAACAAGCATCATCCGTTTGATTTTCAAGAGGCGGCGACATCAAGTCCACTAAACAGAGCTTTTCCTTGGCCACATCGATGTTTTGCAGCCATGTGAACAACCCCGTACGCGTGCGTACGGAAGCCAATTAGCAAGGATTCCCCATGTTTATATTTGATGAAAAGGGCCTCTTGATGGAACAGAGAGAGTAGAAGGACGGAGCGGATGAAAACATTCTTTTCTCATATATGATATGGTATGATTGCAATATTATTACCTCTAAACTGCCACATGGTCCCAGTATGCAATTTCCAGTGAGTCACTGCTGGCATTAATCTCTTACAACTTCCTTTAATTTGCACCAGGAATACTAACACCTGTGAATCTTTCGTTACCTTTTGTTTTATGCTCTCAATTTTTTAACATTTATCTCTGCACCATTTCATTATATTGCCCATATTTTACTTTTTGTCGTCATTTTCTTCTTTTGGTTAAGAGGGGGGATGTCAAAACATTTCGTATAGTGTGGTGGGGATATGAAAAAAATTTACCCCTTTAAAAATATCCTCTGCCTACTCCTCTGTAGTTTACATAACAATGCAGCCTAAGTAAACGATGTTGCAACCTATAATAAACCTGCGCTCTGCTGAGTTTGATTTATGTGCAAGTCTTTAACAATATGGCATTTTGAATCCTTGCACCAAGTGACCTTTTTCATACTTGTTTTGGTTTGTTTGAATGCATAACGAGCTCACACTAGACTATATATAATATGTATCTTATTGAACTTACCGCTGAACTAACCTCCTCAGCTCTGGCCATAGGTGTCAGGACCTGCTTCTTGTCCTTGGATGATGATAAATAAACAAATAAATATTAATGAATAAATAACAACTGTCTTGATTGTGTTACTACGGGTATTTGTTTGGTACAATTCCAACCAACCCTCCCTATTCATCATTTTGTACTCAGCAATATCTAACATCGCGCTTCTCACAGTTACTATTATAAAATACAAGGTGCAAGCCCTTTACATAAATTCTTGATAAAAAATTTTCCATCTACCAATTGACCGCTTTGTTACATAACTGCCTGACAATATCACCCGTTTCACCAGTTCCCAAAGAAAATAATCTTACCTTCAAAACACCTGAGCTTGTTTCACTCCACCTTGTATTCTCTACCTGACCTGAATCAACTGTTTGACAAATTTCCTTGATACCTGATGCTCCTAGTAAAAAAAGATACAGTACCATCAATAACAAGACAACGCTTACAGCGGCCTGTAAAACTTGCTTAAGCGAACACCCTTGGGAAAAGGTGTCTTGCTAGTTTAATACACTGATGTCAGTAAACCGCTGGGTCGGGGACAGGGCCGGGGTCAGGGCTCTATCTTTTTTTAAGGAATGCTGTTTTAGGGTTAGGGTTAGGGTTAGTGTCAACCCTAACCCTAACCCTAAAACAGCACTCTTTATGCACCTATCAATGTAAAGCCGGCGGGGGGAGGGGGGAGACAGGGGATTTGACATTTTTCAAAAATTTGCAGTCAAATTCCCTGCCCACGGGCAAATCATTCCAGTCAATTGGAACCAAATTTCCCCAACCTGCGCTGTACAAATAACCCAAAGCAGAACCCAATAAAGGCACAATAAAAATATCTCCAAATAAAACTTTGCAATCTTTATTCATATTACGCTGCTGCATCACCAAAGATACATGTTCCTGTTACAGCTGTAGTTATACGTTTTAACCATAATCCGTGTTACACTGCTTAGAATACAGAAACCTTTAGGAGAAAGTCCACATTTTGTAAATTTGACTATACTGTTCTTAGTAAAGGGTACAAAGAAAGTCACTTTTATAAGCGTACAGTGATTGTAGCGAATGAGCAATACACTGATCAATTGGCTTGCAAAAATCGACTTGGTTTCTCTTTACTTCCGTTTACTTTGATACCACAGTATCTTAAGGTGATTCCCTTGTTTTGCACTGCGCATCTCTTTCTGCGCATAACAAGAGGGACGCCGTAAAACAGAGCATGTGAAGTAACATTATTAAAATGAAGTTGACTGAAGAGAAACGCTATTGGAATTTTTGCTTGCGGTTGTTTCTTGCCGAGGTGAGACTCAATGTGTTGGGAATGTGCATAACGTAGGCAGTACGCGTGTTGCTGAGTTCGACTTCCTCACGGAGAACCTCGATAGTGGATGTTTAACTTGTGCTTACTCAATTTGATTTTTATTTAAACGCTTTCTTTATCACATTGTATCCTTAATGTGATATCTCGATGTAAATTCTGTAAAAACAGATTTTTTAATACTTTCTTCCCATTTTCACATACATTCTATTTTGAAACTCGCCCCAGTCCTCTCTCAAAACTCGGAGAAAATGCATTTGGTGCGCACTTTCTGCAGCTCTACCGCAAAAACGAGTACGGTGACCCCCATTTTTTATTTCATGATTTTAATAAGGACAGTGCTTCCTTTCGATAAGAAAAAAATTGGCACAAATCTATGTTAATTTTTTTGGCAATTTTACTAAATTGTACGGATTGAGCTATCACGGGTCGAATAGTGCGTGTCCAATTCAATTCTACTTTGGAGCGTAAAATAAAAACAGGAGCATTAAAAGGTATTTTTCTGGTATGTAAGTGGATAAACAATACAATAAAGTCAAATTCTGTGCGATACCACATGCATCATCGAAAAAATCTCTCGTTTTTGTCTAGTTTTGGGCTGCGCGCGGTTTTTGACAAAGGGTCCAAAATAGCCGTATTTCTCAGAATTGTGACGTTAAAACGAGCATGGTGACCCCCACTTTTTATTACTTTTTTATCATTTTCTTGACTTGTGACATCAGTGTACCAAGTTTCATCTACAATCTATGTTAGGTTCTTTTACTAGGGAATCACCTTAAGAGGTTCAATTAATCAAAAACACGCTAAAACAACGAAATTTGACGACAAACAGTGAAATCCACTCAGCTTTCGCTTGTTCTCGTTGGCCTCTATGATTTCAGATCTTTCCAGACCGTACGGCGCATGCATGAAGCGTGGAAGCAGGAAACATATGTTCGGGCTTAGTCTTTTTCGTCCGAGTCGGCAGTCAAATATCTCCACGTCGGGCGAAGCAAGATTCAAATATCCCCTTCCCTGGGAGAACAAGATCAGTCAAATGCCCTACACCAGGGCCAACAAAGACAATCAAATCCCCACCCCATGCCCTGCCTCCCTTCGCCCACGTCCCCCCCCCCTGCCGGCATAACATTGATAGGTGCATGAAAAAGATAGCCACGACTGGCCCGCGTCTAACTGACACCCCTTCCAATTGGTACAGGCATAATTGTACGCAATGTTGGAAGTTGTTGCTTATTCAACAATACGGCTCCTTCTATTCATTCTTTATGTTCAAAGTTCTACTTTCTACTAAATAGAACAGAGAGGAAAGCGCTTCAGACATGGAAAGAAAAAGGCCTTTTCGTAAGCCACACTTTGCCCTTATTTGATAATGAGCGACTTCGGCAAAACTGAAAGGAAACTTAACTTTTAGGTGTATACATTCACGAAAATCTTTGCTGGAAATCACATAAATTTTATCTGCAACAAAACAGCAAAATCTGTTGGAAGGATTTATAGGCCGCGGTCGCGCTGTCATCATTTTTAAGTGATAAATTCCTCTTTCATGCCCTCATATATATCTTACCTATAAAGCCACTTTAATATAGTTTGGTCATTCACGCACAATTGTCACCTGAACAGAATTTATTTCTTACAAAAACGCGCTAACCGTGCGTTAACTAACTCAGAGTATCGTTCTCACTTTGCTCCGTTATTTGCCAAACTCAAGATTTTAGATATGTTGGTGTTTCTACATTCCATGTCTCTAAATTTATGTTCTGCTATCATCGTCATTCGCAGCCCTTCAGTCTCTTCTAAATCCATAACTGGTGGCCAGGTACATACATATGCCACCAGATTTGAAACAAATTACAGACCAAACTTTTGTCGAACAAATATTAAACAGTTACATGTAACTACGTGAAATTCCTTTCCAGCATTATCTGTCTCGAGCTCCACCACTTCTGTTAATTTTAAAAAGCGACTATATGACTTTCTTTCTCGCTCGACCCCAAGCATAAATCTTCCAAACTGACTAAACTCTATTGTCTCCCTCTGCACCCGCTAGTCCTGATATCATTCAATCAATGACCATCCTCCTTTTACAAGCCTTTGGCTTTTTGAGGACTCTTCACCACACAGTATTTTGATCGTTCTGTATTACCTTTTTTATTTAACTGTATTGTTATACTAAAATAAAGGTCGAACTAGACGACAAGTTACTGCAACAAGTCGCGGCGACAGACCCCTGGCTCCGTGTGTACAGGACGGGCGACTAGTTGCGGCAACACGGTTGGGGCGACACATCCCAGCTACAAATCGCTTCGTGTGTACGGGAGAATTTCGTGAAATCTTTGTCTCTACAACAGACCTTGACGAACTTTGCCGCCGCAACAAGTCCCACAAATTCTGACTGATTTGATTTTTTGCAACATGTTGCGGCGGCAAAATTTTGTTGTAGAGTCAAAGATTTTCACAAAAGTTCTCCAGTACACACGAAGCGATTTGTTGCTGCGACGTTTTGCCGCGATATGTTGCTGCAAGTTTAGTCGCCTAGCGTGTACCTACCTTAATTCTCAAAATGTAATTTTACTTGTGAAGTGGTGGTGTAAATAAATAAATAAATAAATAATAAAATGCACTTAGTTAATAAATGAATGAATAAAATCCTGTGTTGGGATTGCCTACCCAAGCAATCAGAAAATTAATGTCACCGGAAAACGCAAGTAAGCTTATGACACTCACGTGACTTTTCCAGGAGAGCCTTCTTGCAACGCATATAACTTTCTTCTGCTATGGATGTCTTTAATTGCACCGTCTCTAAGTTCAGTTTTTTCTTAAGTTTATCCGTGACAAGGCACCTCTCAGCTAGGTCATTGAGTTCACCAGACTGATAATCATTCCACAGACGCTCGAGGCCTTCAAGGTTTACGCATTCAACAGTAATCTCCAGACAACCAATTCCGAAGTTTCTTACAAGTAGATTATAAGATTTTTGTAAACCCTGAAAAAACGAAGTAGCTTCTCCTTGTGACTGCTCAGTGAGATCAAGTGTATCTAATTCCAGTAACAATTCAAACTGTCCCAAGAAATGCTCCTTGAATATTCTATTCTGATCAACATCCAGATTTTGCTGTCTAATTTTCAACTTCAGCGTACATGATTTACCTGTTAACATGGAAGTAAGATTCAATTTATTAAGGTCAAAATTGTAGCCCTGCAGCATTCCACACGCATACAATGTTAAGCATACACTGTAATATGTTAAAGACACATAACTTGATATAAATGGGAGTATTTTCGACTGTGGAAATCTCCCGGGAGAGCTACTCTCTTACAAGAGGCTAATGGGGATGTGCCGCTGGATGGGGTCGCATTTTCACGACTGGAGTGACTATAATGGGGTCGCATTTTCAATAGAGTTACTAGAATGGGGTCGCATATTTTCGGGTCTCTGGGGTAAGTAAGGATTCCAAATGGGAAGATTCTCGGTTAAAAAAAAAAACGGTAAGTTGTTGTTTATTAAATTTAACAATAAGCTCGCACTGACGGCATTACGATCCCGTACATTCCGCCGTTTGAAACCACATTGATAAGGTAGATGCATAAATGAAGCTGGGGTCTATAATTGGCCAAAAAATAGACTATAATGGGGTAGGGGCTCTGAGAGGCCAGCGGCACATACCCAGAAAACATTAACCCAAGTTCCCCCTTCCCCCCCGGGGGGAAATCTGAGGGGAAGCACAATTGTTTCGCAAGCTTCCTGATATTTGAAAAGATTCTCTGCTAGTGAATTAATCTTCTTTGCGACTGGATGAATATTTCCCACGTTATTTTCTGCCGGCCTTACTTAGGAAACGCAAAATTTTCAATTTTACAGAGTTGATTAAAAGGTTAATTATTGCAGGCAAAACAACATATTTTTCAAGGCACAACTCACTATCGAAAAATATACTATGAATGAAAGACGTTATATTCTCACGCATTCTTTCGACTGTTTTTCAAGCTATTGCTATGCGGTTATTTCAACGAAGTCTAACTCAGGGCCTCTTCCCATGATCCCGGTTGACCAGGCTGGCCCAGTTACCAGGATGAATTTCTCCTTGGGTTCATATGAGAAACTTCGGCCCGGTTTCCGAGATGGGGGAAGGCCAAAGATTCTAGGGATGAGTACTGGCGCCAAATTCGAGAAACACAGCAAACATGACGAAACACACAAATTTTAACTTTCGGGCCTTTCATAGCTTCGGTAACTCTTAAATCTGCATTACTGCAGTTAAATGGGAAAATTCATCAAACAATGCAAGACGATGCCAGCCGGACAGCCAGAATTCATCCCGCCGTTCATATGGCAAAATTTCCAGCCAGACGAATGAAACTTCAAAACTCTTTAGAAACTCTTTAGCCAGTGTTTAACAAAATAGCGTTCTAAGTCATGTTCAGCTAACCGAACGCGCGCTTTTATGAAAACACGATTTATCGTGAACAGTTTCACGAAAGCATATGGAGTAGACTAGAAAAACAGTTCTCTTCTTAAAAATAACCCACTAAGCAAGAGTTCTGGAGGTCCAAAGATTTCTTAAACGGCGGTGTAAGTTAGAATTTGTTTAAATAACCGAACCCATGGGTTTTAGTTCACACACCTCCACATTTTTCAAATTTCTGTGGCTTTTGTCCTGTAGAAATAAACATAAAAATTGAAAATGACACAAATAGGCCGTTTGCAAGACGGAGTCATTTTACTATTACGAACAGAATCCTTTCCGCTTTTGCTTCGCATAATGTCGTGTGCAAAGATTCGCTAATAGTCAGGGACCAAACTAAGTTCTTTGAATATAGTGCCTCGTAATAATGTCTGAAAACAAAGAAAATGTCACTGAGAAATGATAAATATTGATCGACGAAATATGAAATATTGCTTGAGATTTACTGATTTTAGCCCCCGACGTTTGAGTGAGTATAAGCCGGTACCCTGATCTGCAGTATTCGTGAGCCCAAGGTGACATCTGGTTTTGAATCTTAGTTGAAAATTGCAGTGAGTGAAGAATGACACTGCTACAGTGTGAACGGAAACAATTCCTTTTGCAGTTCCTTTTGAGTAAGTTAACAATAACCTCCCACTTTAGATGTACTAGTAGGCAACAGCTAGAAAAACAAATCATGTTATCATTCGATGCAAATGTTTCTTCCTTTTCATTGGCCGAGAGCTCGCCACGTGACCTGCAAATAACTGCCTACAAATAATGGTGTGCTCATGCGCAATGTCGTTCAACTGTTTTTGGTTTAAGTTTTTGGCTGCAAATACTATTCTGCTCATGCGTAAATGAAACCACGCTTGCTCCTTGCTCGTTTATGTGATCTCTGTCATTACTCCTGGAAAGCAGCGCGCGCTAACCGCTTTCCGAAGATATTATTTATTAAAAAACAAACTCAGTGATCGAATGATAAAACAATTATTGAACTCGGTTATCGCAAAATATCGTGATTTGTCATTGTCTCGCAGATCAATTATTTGCCTCAGCCCTCGGCTTCGGCAAATAATTGATCTGCTCGCCACTGACAAATCACGATATTTTGCTCAACCTCGTCCAATAATTGCTAATTATTGCATACCTTGATCACAAGAAGATTCTGACATTTTACGCTTACGGCTATTCTGTGACTGGGAGCCTTTATCTGTGGATATTTCAGTTTGATTTCCTGGTGCAGCATCAGCCTTCTTTTCACAGTTACTACCAATGGACGTTTCTGAAAGAGGCTGCTCGTCGTCAGAAGAGTTTGTTCTTGGATTGTTGTCATTTTCCATAGAAGGTTCTGCGAAAACAGGCCTTGGTTACAATGACAATTTCATTGAAACAATCAATTCCAAGTAAGACAATCCCTCCCCAGACATTTGTCGGGCATTTATCAGGTTTTGAGTTCCCGGGGTGGGGCATTGTCATCAAAGGTCTGCCCAGAAGTGGGCAATTTGTCATTGTTGAATTTTACATATTCGACTACTATAATTATGATATAGGTGAAAAATATACATGTAGGTAGATAGGTGGTAGCGTAGCTGACAATTAGTACTGTATTTTTATGTAGCTTTACATATTCTATTATAATAGCTTATGCTTCACACATAGTTTCCAAATGGTTAGATGGATGTAGAGCTCTGCACTGTTGTATTCGGAGTTACCGCAACATAATATTATTCACACGTTTCGGCAAAAGTGAGGTTCGACAGGTTTCAACTAGACCTTATATGGGTATCAATCATGTATGTGGAGATATCTCGTTGCTTATGTATATAAAATAAGCGTATGTCACAGAGAGAAACCAAATCATCATAACCAACTCATATGAACCTTGAACACTCGTTCATAGGACCCATCACCCACGATTTATTGATTACAACGTCTTTGACAATACCTTTATGGTCCTCAATCATGCCTTCCGTCCTCTGAGATGAAGCGTTGAACTTTGTTTCTAGGGAGCTTGCGGCCTTTAAGGAAACTTCTGCTGAAACAAAATGGACGACATGAGGCGGTGATTATGTATGTATGAAATGATTATATATGCATGTGAACTGCTGCAAATAAAGCACAACCGATCTTTATGTGCACTCTCAAACATAATCTGTAAACGAACGCTTTAGTTGTACAGTGTACTGTAGTTTGTTTTAGTTTTTCCTTCTATTGTTCCCTTATAACTGATGCAGTGTTGAAAAAAAGATAATTGCCATTCCTACCATAAGCTAGGCTGGTCATCTTGTCAACCAAATCTTTCATTTGCTTGGCCCAGTTGTATTTCTTGCCATAGGAATCTTGCAAGGTTTCCACTTCCTCAAGTCGACTTTTCCGGTCCTTGGCCCATATTTTTTGGATGGCTTGGGTCCAATCGGCGGGGTTTTCTGAGTTAACCACAAAAAATGAACCAAAAGGTATACTACTTAGTGCTTCTCCAAAACCTGAGTTGTGACTGATGAGCACAGGGAGACCAGCTGACATCGCCTCGAGTCCTGGCAGTCCAAAGCCCTCTGTTCTTGAAGGCATGAGTACAAGATCCACCTCTTGGAACAAGCGTTTCAAACTGTCTTGGTCTTGAACAAATCCTCTTACTCTAAAGCGACTTGCAGGAATACCACATTCAGTCAACCGCTTCGCTATTTCTTCGCGTTTCCCATCCGTTACCCCAACACACACAAGACGAGTATCTTGTAATGCAGCAATCGCTTTTCCAGCGATGTCAAATCCCTTCAACTCGAAATCTTCCACGTCTCCACGACCAAAAACCAAGACACTGCGTTGTTGTCTTTCGCTAGGAACCTGTTTTACAGTCCTAAACTCTTCGAATAGTCCAGGAGTGAAGTCAAAAACATTGTCCTCTTTATTACAGCCGCGAAGATATGAGCGAAAGGCTTCGCTCAACTTCCCTCCTACTCCTATAACATGATCAGCCATTTCACACAGTTCTACTTCGGTTTTGTGCTTTTCTTCGCCCTTCAAAGTTGGGTTGCAATTGTTTTTAAACATTCCAAGTTCCTCCGGGTCTGTATGTACCACTTGAACCCATTTGCACTTTTTATTCCTCTTTATAGCAAATGCTGGACTACCGAGTTCAGCTCCATGACCTACGATAATGTCGATTTGCAAATCGTCTGGCGGAAAGCAAAGCCAATTCAATTGTTCCAGGCCAGGCACTGGTTTTGCCTGCACGATCTTTACATTGTACTCAAGGGCTACTTTTTTGTCCTGTTGACTGCATTTTGGTAAAAAGAAAGTGATTTCCACTTCTGGCAATTTGGCTAACTGAATGGCTAATTCTCTGTTTAGGGTGGAAAGTCCCTCATTACTTGATTCCCATTCAGAAGCCAAAATAGTGACTTTCACTTTGCGAGTTCCATGCAATCGGTCATCATATATCTGACCTTTCTGTAAAGAAGCTGCCATGCCCAAACATCAGTCATCAAACACCTTCAATAAAAATTAAAAATAGAGAATCAGTAACAGCGAGGAATAAATTATCTCAGACAGCACCTTACATTGGGTGGTACAGATTAATATTTTTGCGATCAAAACAACCTTTTCGAAACTTACAAACGTACTGATCGCATTACCAGTTGTTTAAATGGTGGATAGCACTTACCACGAGACAGTGATTTATCCGGTGGACACCGCTATCTACCCTTTGAACAACTGTAGCTTGGGCTTTCTAGAGGGAAGGAGAGGTGATGAAGAGAAGAAGAATGCCATAGTGTTTATTATACGTATATAAGCGGAGGCTTCACTTTTAGCCCTGGTATCGTGGTTAAGATAGTGGACTGCAAACGCTACGCTCCAAGTTCGATTCTCAATCTTGCCACTCCGAACCTTTTTTTCCTTAACAATTGAGGAGACTTCTACTTTCATGGACATTTATTGAGCAGAAATTTCAAAAAAACTTAGAAATTTCATAGAAATTTCAAGAAGAGACTTAACCCCATATGAATAGCAAATGCAAGTCGGTGTACAGGTCCCGTACTAAAAGCCACCGGTTTATTTTTCGGCCGTTCTCATTGCCGTCGCAGTTTAGCATTACACGATTTTATTTTTTGAGTAAATTATAAGTATTTTGACGAGAGCTTCTCTTTTAGCCCTGGCTAAATCTATATATTATACCCAGTACACAGATTTTGTTTGGTTTGAAGGATAGGGGACAAAAAGCTACGTAGTGGAGGAGGGGAGGAATTCGTGTCTCAGTCCCTCCCTGCCAGTCTGTACGGGCGGTCTGTCGGGCAAACGCTGACGTCATAACCAAAATTTTCTCCCATCCATAGGTTTCCAATTTCTATAGTAATTGAGACTCTGCTGCGAGAGATCAGCTAAAAAATTGAGCCCGGGATCAAATAAAATGTCATCGGTAAACTTTAAAACAACCTCGATGGATAGAAAAATGAACCCGCGATACAGTCAGGTAAGAATGGTCAGCGTATGCCCCATTTTAACAGCTGTCAGTTGACTTTCATGAGGAATTGTAATTTATTTCTATTTCGGTAAAGATTATACACTGGCTGACATGTAGGGCTGAAGAGACCGATCTTGTTTTATGCTACGTTTCCCCTTACTTTTCCTTGTTACACTAGGCATGTCACTTCCTCTACTTGAATTTTTTTTCGGTACCACCACTTGCAGGATTTTTCTTTCAGACAAGTTTGCTTGCAGGATTTTTTTTGGGAATTGTCATCCCACCTCCGGTGTTTTGTAATGGTCTGCTCCTAAAAGGATTAATTGCTGTAAACATTTGTAATTTTTCAAAATTATTTCTACTTTCATGCGTTTTATGCGCGAGCCGACCGTCTCGAATAATTGGAACAACCCTATTTTTTGCTATGTCATTTATGAATTGACTGATCGAAGTGTGAACCGTAATTTCTTTGCCGACGTTTCGGGTATACCAATCAAATTCTTAATTTTCATAGCAATGGAGTCTCCGCGACGCGCACTGAAAACGGGTATGTACCGCTGAAGAGGGTATGGATTCATAAATGGGTATGTGCGCTGACCAGGGTTTGAATTCTTAAACAGGGTGCACAATTTGACTATTTAGCGTCTTCAAATGGGTGTCTTTGTGTACTGTAAGCCAGAACGTAAAAGTTAGCTATGAGTGGTCTACAGCTGTGGTAAAAAAATATTTTTCTGGAAAATAATATATAATTTCATGATGTTAGTTTAAAATATCTCTTAATTCTGTAGGTAAAACCAATTGAATAAAAAGGTTTTAAAAGGCGAACCGAACCTTTTGCTCACTTTTCTACAAAAAGGTCATAACACAACCTGCCACTTATAAGCCCCCAACCAGTTATAGGCGCATCCCGAGGGCCGGGTTAAATCCTAATAATAGGCTAATGGGGATGTGCTGCTGGATCGGGTCACATTTTCACCTCTGGGTTGACTTCAATGGGGGTTGTAATTTTCAACAGAGTTACCGGAATGGGGTCGCACATTTTCGGGATTTTGGGGTCAGATTTAAATGAGAAGATTTTTACTGCATTTAGTTTAACAAATGTGTCAGTTCATTTCAGTAAGACCTAGTTAAAAAGCTTTATAAGGCAGATGCACAAACAGAAGATGACTAAGTTGGGATTGCAAAAATAACATTTGCCCAAAAGCGAATAAGATGGGGTCTATAATTAGCCAAAAAATAGACTTTAATGGCGTTGGGGTTCTGAGAGGCCAGCAGCACATACCCAGAAAAATTAACCCAAGTAACCCCTCGGGAAGCCCATCTACTTGTGATAAAAAATACTCCGAATACAAGCCCCCCTTCTAACTTTCCTTGAAATACAGTCGACTCCTGATATTAAACTTGAAACTTCCAGGGAAATCGAAAAAAATTGGAGTTTATAATATTGGGAGTTTGAAGCAAACAACCAGAAATTATGGAAATAAGCAAATGGAAGGGGAAAGCTAGGGTTTTGGGTACCCTCCTATGATCTGTTCGCCTCTCAATCTTTGTTACCAAGCACAAGAGGTGGATATGTTCCGAGGGTGCATCCTTTACGTCTAGAATTCTGAACATGGTAAGGGTAAAGGAATTATGTAACTTGCAACCACGACTGGTGGTAGGGGGTGTGGGGAACAGTCCTTTCTAAACCAAAGTTTGGACCATCCCCCCCCACCCCCAAATCAAAAATTCCTGGATCTGCACCTGTATTTCACATGTCTGGTTAATTTTTTTCCTGTTTTTTGTTTCAAAATAATAGCTTTAAACTACATAAAAAATAGCAGAAAATAGGAACATGAAAGGTAAAAAATAAGATGCAAAGTAGCAAAAATATAGAATAGATACAAAATAGAATGATTATGTTTTTGTAAGGGATACACTTACATTGTTTACGGGTACCCATTTCGACACCTGAAGGAGGTTCAAAAGGTTATCTCTATTTTAAGATCTCTCCTTACAGATAACCCACCCAGAATAATAAGTACAGAGTGGAACCCCGCCTTACGGCCAACTCGGTAATACAGTCACCTCGTTATTACGGCCACTTCTTTTTGGCTGCTCGGCAAAAACGACCATACATTTTTTTGTAAAAGAAACCCTCGTTAATACGGTCACCTCGTTATTATGGCCAAATTTTTTTGACCCGTTGGTGGCCGTATTAACGGGGTTCCACTGTATGTGTACTTAAATGGTGACGAGTGAAATTAGGGAATAATTTCACACACATTTTGTCTAAATTCTAAAAATTTTAATGGCTTGGGAAATTATTAGAATTTGGACAAAATGTGCGAGAAATTATCTCTAATTTCACCGGTAAACCATTTGATTACCTGTTAATCATGGATGACAAATTATGCTCACAATCGTTGGTTTTTGTTTATCAAATTGATTATCGATCAAGAGCTATCAAGAACTCCATGCACTGAAAACTTTTAAGCTTTTGCGCTTAAGTTCATAATTTTTTTGGCTCAAGTTCATAATTTTTTGACAAAATACCTGATAGAATCCTTCCTGATTTTCTCTTTTGCCTGTTAAGGTTTTCTAAAAAAGCGTCTTTAGATGCCCTGACATGTGCAATCATAACATTTAAATCTTTGCCGCTATCTTGTCACTAATTTGTTTAGACCTCTGGGCCAAGTTGTTCAAAGCTGGGTTAAGATAACCCACGGTTATTTCGAGATTTGAATTCAGATTTGAAAGCTTAACAAGCACTTCAGTCTTCATTCCTCTTGTCTACAAGTTGATGATTGGAAGCTCTAAAAATAACAGAGAAAATAATCCGAGAAAATGCTTTTGAACATAAGAAAAAGAAACTTGGGTTAAATTTAACCCTGGGTTATAAAGCCCTGATCGGCCTTCGAACAACTGGGCCCTGGTTCTCTGGTAAAAATTCATCTTCAAAAATTAGGGGTGGTCCAGGGGGGTAGTCCATGAGAAGACTATGGACTGTGTCCAGAGAGGTGGTCCAAGTTTTGTATACGCCCAGATCGAGGAGGGTGTTATCTGACGAGGTCGTAGGCACATGATCAAAAACCAAATTCAATAATTGTTTTATTATTCATTCAAAACAGTTCGTAGAAAAATAGTTCCAGAAAAAAGTTGTAGTTTCAATCATACCGTTTACGTATGCTCCTCCAAAGATAGTGCCCCACAACAAGTATGCTTACTAATCAAATTCTTCTTTGCGAAGAATCGAACTTTTGTTTCAGTCACAGTGTACAAAGAAAACGCTGTACATGCTACTGCTAAGGTGCAAACCCTGGGTCTTCCATAAACACTTTGCTCGCCATTTTGAAAGTCACTGACGCGAGACGTGACATCATACTGGTGGGCAGACTGAATCACCAATTTCCTTGGAGACACCTCCCCCCCCTTTGGTTTAGGTTTACTAAAGCGTCTTTTAATTCCCTGCCATCTTCATTCACAACGTTATTTTAACGCTAACATGCTGTGCTAAAATTAAGGAGTTCTCTACTACCCTATATATTGGTATTACTTGTATATCCAATGTGCTCAGTGATAAGTAGTGGAATATTACTCCATTCAGCTTGGTGACAAGTAACTAATGATAATTCAAATGACATTTTTGAGACCATGGATGACCTGCCTAGGCCATTTCCAAGTTGTTTAAAGTCTCTGTTTCAAAGTGAGGCTAAGATTGGGTTCAATTGGGAAATCAGGATTTAGATTTTGAAATCCCGATTTTGGATTTTGCAATCGAACGCGAAATCCATCTCAGGGTGGATTTCAATTGAGAAATCCAAATCCGGATCTCATGGATTTCCTTTTTGCCATTTGAAATCCGAAAAAAGGATTTGCAAAGCTATTCTCGTGAACAGCGGTCTTCGTTTTGCTAATTATGCATGCGGGTGCAAGACTGTTGTTCGTAAGGACAATTTTTAAAAAACTTTATCGAATTGCCCAATCTTACAGTAAAAAGGAAATGCAAAAACAGATGACATCTGACATCATTGTCTCAGCGTTGAAATCCCTTTTCCGGATTTCGCGTTCGAATGTAAATACGAAATCCGTATCATAAAATCTAAATCCAGATTTTCCAATAGAACGCACCCAAAATAACTGATGTGAAAATGATTCTCTATTCTCATGCAAATAAAACTCATTTCACAACAAAGGCTTTTTTAATACTTAAAGCCTCGTTTTTAAAGTAAGAGTTTCTGGAACTCGTAAATGGCCTAACAATTTCGGGTGTGCGTGTCCGACATTTCTACCAAGAAGTTCCCTTAATGACAAACATGATCAAAGATCTGCAAACATATGCCTGACGCCTGACACTAGCGAGTTATGGGTGACTGCTGCTACATTGAAGATGAGAGAAAAGAATAAAAACAAAAGATACGCTTACCTGAGTTCAAGAATCGAAGTCTCTAGTAGTGTCTACTGTCGATTGCTTTCCCTCAATTCCAAAACGTTCACAGTCATTGCAAGCCTGAATTGGTTTAAAATAAATAAAAAGGGACGAGTTAACACCTCTAATTATACAATCAGTATTAGTACACTGAAGGCAAGCAAACCCAACAATAGTCTCCCATGCAGACGCGCTCCTGCCCCACTAAGAAGGCGTGAAAAACCTTATAGCCGTCGGGAGAGTGAGGGAAACGAAGGGACCGCGAACGACCTCGAACGTCTGAGAATCAGGCCATGATAAACCCCGATTAACGTCTGCGTGGGAAGCTAACTTACAACACATCTCTCAATCGAGCCAAGTTGAAATTAAACCACGCCCGAGAAGTATGGGACGAGCTCTGCAATTCAAGACTTTTCTCAGGGTGGAGTGGGAAATATTCCCTCAACGCCGAGTCACGCGAATATTTCTTGTGACCATTATAACACACTTTTCCAAACTAACTCTAAATTCTTCTGCCGTGGAACAACCTTTTTCCACCGACCTCCAGAGAAAAGTTTTAGTTTCAATCACATCTATATACCTCCAAAGATTGTGCCCCACAACAAGTATGCTTACTCATCACATTCTTCAAGTCGAAGAATCGAACTTGAGTTTATTTCATGCAGAGTACAATGAAGAAGTGCACATGCTACTAAGGAACAGGAAATTCAGCCAGCTGATAATTTTTTCGCGACAGTTAAACTGCCAAAGAGCCGTCACTTATCCTCCTCTCTTCTCTGATATGCCGATTCGACGCGCCGCTCACTGTTGGACTGATGCAATTTTTCACACTTTGAACCCTAAGATCAAAATTTGAATTCTCATTTGTTGCCCCTAGCTATTCATTTCCTACAGACGTAGTGGGAAAGTTGATAATTATTTATATCAAGCAAATTCATCTTGTGTGATCATGTCCGTAATTCTCATGGCCACTCTGTTTCACAAAGAATTGATTTTACAAGGAGAAATTTGATGCTGATCACTCTTAAGACTTACATGTAAAGGGTTAAAAAATCTGACAAAATTGAATCGCCTGTAAAGTAAAATATCCAGTGTGCGCATCGTTTGCACCTATCCTGTAGTCATGGTGACCATTGGGGCGCAAGCAACCCTTTCCCTTCTATTTGATTTTGTTCTCAGAGTCTCTTAGGGCATCCTAAAACTTCGACCTTGTCCACTCAGAGGCGTTATTCTCCCAACGCCTTTTATGTCGGCCCTTTCTTCTCCCTCCTTGCACCGTTCCTTGTAAAATTGCCTTGGCAAGCCCTGCTAATCTTGACACATACTCGTACCACTTTAACTTGACGCCGTTGCATCGCTTGCACGAAGACGTTTATACGGGAGAAGGCTGCTGGTTTAAGGAAACGAAAAAGCGGAAAAACAATAAGGATTTGCTTACCTTGTCCTTCTAGAGGCCAGTTCCTGTTGACGTGTTGATCTTCTTACTCGCAGTTACGGGGCAAAGCAATCTTCAAATTTTCAAATTAGAAGAAAAGTTGTTGATTGAAACTGTTATTAATAAATCACTAATTAACGCTGACTGTTTAAAGAGTTCAACTGGTACTTACTCTGGACTCAAACAATCTCACAAAATCTTTCGCAAAGGAAGACTCAGGGAAGGAGAACGAACGTCTCGGGGACAAGCAGGAAGTTGAAAGCGAAACTGCTTTTAGAAGCTTCTGGAAAATATTTTGAGCCGAGTAAGAAAGGTTATTGTGAGCTCACTCATAAAATTTCACGCTTCAGGGCCAGGTGTATCCAAAGCGAACGGGCCACGTGACCCGAAACACTTTGGGCGCGCGGAAAAAAGACCAAGAGACTAGGTAACGAGCAACCCACACACGCCACAAAATCAACAGTTCACATGATTATCAACTGCCAGACATGCTAACTAATAATCAAGGGATTTTGCTACCCTTCGAGCAGAAGCCCTTTGAAAGATCAATACGAAGGGCCTCTGTTCGCAGGGTAGGACTCCGTGCGATCCGTGACAAAGAAGCGTAAAAAATGTCAGATCGGCGGTTGTCATTGCAAGCCGTCAAAAAAAGGCTCAAGACCGCAAGGTCACGCAAATATAGAATAACCGTCAAAAAAGCTTTGCGCTGGAGAAAAGTTAGAAAAGCAAAGTCGAGTAAAGCTTTTGAAAATATAAAATTAAAAGTATGCTCGGTTCTCGAATTGTCACGCAGAGAGCATCAGCTTGAATACGAAGACTATTAGTTTTCTACAAATAAAATGAAGTAAACTATGAAGAAATCAGTTTATTTTCTATTTATTTACCAAATCACGCCATAAAACAGTCAATCAAGTAACAAGGAGCTGCCGTTTTTGGTTTGTAAAACAAACTTTTCTACTACACAACCATTTGATGTGATCAGCACGCACATCAGCTAGATTTCAGGCTAATTATAAATTCATCTTTCCGCCGCAAAAAATCGGTTGGACAATAGCGCTGCGCGCAGTTAGTAATTATAGACCCGAAACTGACAAACAAACTGAAATCGAATTCGTCACTTTTGTCTGACTTTTGTCATTAAAGTGTCATGTTTGTCTGTCTTTTGTCATTAAAATGAAAAAAAAATTAAAAATCAGACAAAAATTGCAAATTAGTCACTTTGACGTCATTCGCGCGCTACGCTATTTACCGTACAATTCCGAAAATACGCCCCGGGGGATTAGAATTTTTCAAAGGCCCTTCTTGAGGGGCTTATTTTTGGAGGGGCTTATATTCGGAGGGGCTTATCTACGGAGGGAAATTTGCGTTTCAAAATCGCCTGAGCTAGCCTAACAGTTGGAAGTAAATTTACCGTTTTTGCTTTGTTTCACCTTGTCTTTGAGGGCAATTTTCCAAGTACAAGCCCCCGGGGGGCTTATATTTGGAGGGGCGATTTAACGGAGGGTTTTTTGTGTTACCGGTTTGGGGGGCTTATATTTGGAGGGGCTTATACATGGAGGGGCTTATTTTCGGAATTTTACGGTATTCTGCTTCAAAAACCAGAATAAAATTTCCGGCAATGAAGGATGAGACCGGCCTATTAGGATGACCTAAATGAATTGTAAAGAACTTCAGAAGAAAGAAGAACGGAACTTTATCTTAAGATCAACCAGATTGTGCGCTTGTTTGGGAACACAACCAACTGCGCGGGAACTAAAAATGAAACTAAGGGACTGTAAAAGTGTCACGTGCCGTTGCACTAATTAAACTCAGCAAGTAAGCTAGCACTCTTGCCGGAACATAAAACCCGTGATGATGTTGAACTGACTTGAAAATTGTCCACCGCATTGACGAAGATCATTTCCCACAAACCAAAATGCAGAGTTTAATTTAATTCATCTACAACAGAAAAGGGACAATGGCTTTCCTTCCTTTTGGATAATCTTTAAATTCTTTGCGATAGTTTCGGTGTTTGCCTATGGCCCATACTGCCATCTGGTAGAATCCAAACAAGGTGAATAAAACCGCTGAAAGAGGAATAAAGAAACCGTCATGTTAAACAGATATGCTTAGAGCGATTTTCGTATAACCTTGAAATAATGGTTACCGTAAGTGTTCGTTATTTGTTTTATCAGCCAAAAAAAAGATCAAAACGTGTACTCTTCGTTTTCCCGCCAAAGAAAATCCTAATATAGAGAAGGCATTGTTCTATTGACTTCTAGAAAGTTCTCGGGCATGAAGTTTTTTCACCCGAGCATTCGCTAACCAACCAAAACTAACGCGCGTTTGTAATCGCTGTATTTCCGTTCGTTTGTTTTTACTGTTTTGTTCGCGCGTTTTCATTTCAAGGTCATACAAAAATCGCTCTATTACTTTTAAATTGTTTCATTATCATGACGAAAAAGTAAACTTCATTTTCCCACAAAGCGCTAAAGAGCTCTCAAGAACTCCACTGTCCGTTCTACATTTGAATTTAGAAGTGTTGTAGGTTGGCCGTTTGGATCGATGGATAAAATTTTGAAGTGAGACCATTCAAATGAAAGCTACAGACTGGTAATTTCCTGTGAAGCTTTTTTATGTTAAACAACTGGGTGTTCCTAAGGTTTGACTCTATGCACAAAATCCTATAGCGTGACCATTCAAATGAAAGTTACTGAGCAGTACTTTCCTGTGGTACTGTTTATTACGTTTTATTATATAGACACGAGTGTTTTACTGGAAAATATACCACTCGTAAAATTCATAAAAACTACATCCGGGACCCGAGTGGTATATTTTCCATAATCTCACACGTGAGTTTATCGATGACGTAATTTCGGTAATTTCCCTCCAAAATTTGTAGGCGTCTTGCGTCGTTTGAATTTTAATTACTCATTTTCAAAGCTTTGTTTATATTTTGTCATTGTAGAACCCTTTTCAGCTCAGTGTAAAAATTCTCAAGATTATTGTAAGCAATGTCTTATATTGCTGTACTGTAAATTTGAGCCGTCACAATTACTTTTCGGCGAATAAAAATCTATTATTTTATTGATGTCTTTTTGTCTATATAATAAAAAGAACATTACACGGGGGCTTGAAGATATGAATTTTATTTTCTCGTGGCAAAAACAATATTTTACTCACTAGCTGCGCTCGTTCGTAGAATATTGTTTTGCCACTCAAAAATAAAATTCATATCTTCGCGCCACCGTGTAATATCCTCTATGCACAAGATGGTTCTAACATTTGAGTCTCTGGTTGAAATCCTTAAGTGTTACCACTCAAATAAAAACTTCTGAGCAGTACTTTCCTGTAGTACTAACTGTTTATTACGTTGGGCAAGGTGGTTCTAACTTTTGAGTCTGTGGATTAAATCCTAAAGTCCCTGACTTAACGAGCAGTACTTTCCTGTGGTACTGTTAATCATGTTGTACAAGGTGCTTCTAACTTTGGATAAAATTATTAAGTGTGCCCATAAGAATGAAAACTACTTATTATGCTGCACAAGGTTATACCTGTTAATGTCTGCGTCATCACAGAAAATACTATCCAAGAACCGGCCTGAAGAAAAAAAAACAGATAAAATCACATCGTTACTTTCATCTCTCATCTAGCAGAAGTAAAGAGGGAGAACAACTATGGTTTAGCAATAAGCCTTAAGTTAAAGCTTCTTCTAAAAGGAAAATGACTCTGTGCGTGTATTGGACAGTTTTGGTAGAATCAGATAATGGCTGTGAAGCAGACTAGTAGAATAATGGATCGGGTGTGTTTTCTTTTCGGTCAAACTCTGTGTTTACTTGCACATTTGAAGGACCTGTTATACAAAATTACTTCACTCAGAAAATGGGTGGGGAAGGGGGGGAAGAGAATAAAGGATAAAGCAAGCCAGCCTAGTCTTCGATCTTTTCTCCTTTCTGGAAGACCCCACTTTCTGCTCAGAAACACGCTTATACACGTGTGTAGCCAATAGTCAGCAGTGGCAGATCCAGGCCTGGGTTGTTCAAACGTTGGATAGCGTTATCCACCAGATAAATCTCTGTCTAGCGGATACGTATTAGAAAAACCAATTGCACTATCCACTGGATAGAGATTTATACGGTAAACAGTGTTATGCACCTTTCGAACAACTGGGGCCCTGACCTTCAGATAAGGGGGGCGGGTCATTCAGACCCTGAGATAAGGGGGGGCGGTCTCAAAAACTTTTTTTCAACCCTTTGGTCTTCAGTTTGGTCTAAAAATAAGGGGGGGGGGGGCGGTCCCCCCGGGCCCTTACCGAGGATTCACCACTGAGTCTTCAAGTAAAACCAACCAGGGAGAAAAATGTTTTTAGTCAAACTCACCTCATAGGTGTAGTTAGGGCAGAATACAAATCTAAACAACTGTGTCAGGGGATGGGATGTAGGATAGGGTATCTTCCTTTCTTTTGTACCTGCAGATGGAATTGATAAACAACTAGTATGGTGTGTGGCCGAGCGGTTAAAACCTCAAACAACAGATATAGAGGTCTGGGGTTCAAGCCTCACCCGTCTGGTTGTTTCCTTTAATAGACAAGGAACTTTACTCCACTGTGGCTCTCTTCACCCAGGTGTATAAAAGGGTACTGCTGGCATTCTGTTTGGGGGGGTGGGGGAGGGGGGTAACCCTGCGATAAACTAGCATCTTGTCCAGAAGGGAATAGCAATCCTAATACTCCTAGGCATGCTTGATGCTATGGAAACTGGGATAAGCTCCAGCCATTGGAGCCTTTAACTCATGTGCACCTTAACCTTTTTACCCCTAGTGTAGTGTGGTCTTTTGAGATACACTAGAATGAATTCAAACCAGGGAAATAATAATGGTATGCCCCCATTAGAGATCTGTAAATTGTTTCATCCACATTATTTTGTAAAAATGCTTTAACATATTATTACGATTTCAGCATTGCTTTTCCCCTTCCTTAGGGTCAACCTTGTCTGGGCCTTGCGTCTGTTAGTCTAATTAAACATTTTTTTGTTATTTTCTAAAAGCTTAATGCACGTCCCTTATATTATTAATAACTAATCAATAAATCAATAAAAAGCTTAAAATGTGAACTCATGTGGATAATTTGCATCATTAACTTGTCTCTATGTCAAAAAATGGTTACCATAACAACAGAACAAGTGTGGCTTACCTGGAGGCCTCAAATCCCGCAAAGCACAGTGGATGACAAAGTTGCCATACTCGTTAAACTGGAAAAAAAAACAGTCAAAAAAAGGGATTATAAATCATTTACCATGATAATCTTATCCAATTCAGATTATTTTCAGACGCAGGTTAATTTCTAATGGTTTTGAAGGTGTCACTATCCACATAATTAAATTATTTTTTGAAAATGCATTCAAAATTATTATTTTCACTTACCAAGAACAGAGCTAAGCCTGTATACACCTGGGCATCACCAAGCACTAAATAAATTACAAGAAAAATGTTTGAGTTAAAGGTAAAAAAAAAATATGTTCAAATAATTGCAAATGCAGTTTGACGATCCATCACAATAAGACATGGTTTGTAGCTTTAAAAAGAGTCAAAACTATAATATTATTCCTGACCAATAAAAATCAATGTAATGACCTGGTCACATAAATGCAAATCCACTTTTTTATTCTTATTCTTGCCTAAATGTCTATGTAAAAGCAGAGCTTGATAAAAAAAAATAAGGCATGCATTCAAGTAACAAGTATGTGGTCATCCTTCCTTTGTTATCAGTTTGCAAATCTACAGCATAACAATGTTGCATGTCAAAAATGAGTGAGAAAATTAGGTTTTTTCTCACTAGCATAAAATTGGCTTCAAACCAACCATGCCCAAATTGCTTAATTTAAATGTCAACCTACATACTTGGTGGTGTATACAATGGATGATTGACAAAATAACCAACAAGAACACCATAACCTCTGTAAAAAAAGACAAATGGACAAAGATAAAAGCCTGTTAGGTGCAACAGACATTGTATTTGTCCTTATGGGTTGACATTTGAGTTGCCTTTTATTTTATATTTGCATAGTTGTTACTTTTTGGAGTTCACTTTTATTGGGACAAACATGAAATCTTGATCACCACTTTTAAGGAGTTCTAATAGTCTTGGATGTTTTAACCAATAATAAAATTGAAAATCAAAGACGAAGGAAAAACCATGTACAGCTCAAACTATTACATTAAAAAACTTTTAATGGGACAACATTTTTGACTTTTAAAACTTTTTAGCAAGTAGACTAAATAATAATTATAAAATAATTATCTTACCCGTAATAAGCACAGTTCTTTAGAATCCAAGCAGAGAATGAAAAGAAAAGAGAAAATTGCATCAAATACACACTGTACATAACAAGTTCATGAATGGAATAGATGTAGATACACTATGTTGAACAAAGATTCGCCCAGATTACATACATTAAATTTTATTTAGAATCATTTGCTACATACATTTCTCACTCTTTTTCTGTTTTCACTTGGAGTAGTGATAAAAAAACTATTCTTAAAACCTGTGACTATTGCTAAAGCTATCACACCAGTACGAGTACAATGTACAACGCTCCAGAACATAAAAGTTCATAGAACGCCCTACATGCATTCAAGCTAACCAGTTCCTTCAAAATGGAGCATGCACAATACAATGTACCTTGAAAATGTTGAACAAAGGCATGGTCGCATGGGAGAATCGATGAACAAATAAAGTCTCCAACAGTCATTTTGCAAAACGTCCTGCCCAACAAGCTGCCACAATACTGAAACAAGGTTTAAGACATGCAAACATGTTACAGGTTAAAATTATAAATTCAGGTTAAAATTTTTTAACCTAGGTTCATTCTCAATTTCCTTTGTTTTCTACCTCTAACTCATGAATAATTAGGGTAAGGAGACAAAAAAAATTGAGAATCAAACTTAGTTAAAAAAATTTAATCTAAATTTAATTTTAACCTGTAACATACACATAGTACTGGAAATGATGACTTTTGTACATGCCAGGAGCTGTACAGCATGAAATAATGCATAACGAATGCATAGCGCAGTATGTATCAAGTAATTTCAGGAATTTAGTAGATTATTAATTCCAGTACTTGACAGGGCTGCTCTAACAGCGAAAAGCAGGTACTGCGGTCCTGTCACAGTTCTCCTCCCCCAAATGAAAGATAGACCTCACCAATGGGGTCTATGTCCCCTACTCTTTCCAAACAGCAGTGTAGAGCTTTTTTTTGCATTTTTATAACTAAGGAAGCATGAAGGAGACATGGCCAATGGCTTTAAACATCAAGCTGCATAATGGTGCAATCATCTAAACTAAGGCAAGATCTTACAATAGTAAGAAATTTTATAGATCACAGTCATCATAGCGGAGCTCTTGCACGCGATGTGCACGCAGCAGAGCACCATGGGTAAAAAAATGTGGTAAACTACCCACCCAAGAAAATTTGGTAATCACGTGACCGTACACCAACTGCCCACCCACCCGACCGTCCGTCCACACCACAGGCATACCAATGTAAAATAATTTAATCAACAGGTATGGCAACCCAAATGCAACTCAAGGTTTTATTTGGAAAGAAATTGCATGGCCGCCCGGACTTTTAGAAAGAAAAAACAACAACAAAGTTGTGTCTTTTTCGACGTTATTTTTGATGTTTACACTCACGTCGATAACAGAGAAAGAGCTAGAACGAGTCATTGAAAACAAAAGAGACGAATTTTGTAGGAAGAAAAACATGAAAATTCAAAGCGGCTGTGAGACAATGAAAAATCATAGAGGCCAGCAAGGAAAAAATGAGCAGCAGTGAAAAATAAAAGCGAACATGAACACAGGAGACAAAATATTGGCTAAGCACATACGACAATTCCTCTATAAAAATAATGTGTAACTAGGAAGTTTGACGGATTAGTCCCACAAAACAGCGTTATAGTTGTGCAAAACAACGGCAAAGAAAGACAAAAAAAAGCGTGCTGCACATGGAGATTTTTTTTTTTTGGCTAATTACAAAAAAGAGTGTGCTGCACATGCAATTTGTTTTTTTGCTAATTAGATCTATTGATCTTGATGCCATTTTCATTGCCCTTCCCGTTTAGCATTACACGATTCACGATTTAATTTTTTTTGTTTACAAGTATTATTAACCAGAGCTTCGCTTTTAGCCGTGCCTAAATCTATACTAATCTTGCCAGTTTTTTTTTTTTTATATCCTGATTGGTGGTTTGGTCAGGGGTTTAACCTGCCATTTCCCACTTGGCAGACTGGTACTCATACATTCAACTGAGCCAACCAGGCAGCAGCGTAAGATCCCACAATACCCAATGGAGTTTATAAAACCAGCCATAAATCTACAAAACGAGTTTAAAACATGTAAACTAACTGCACAACACAAGGTGCAAAGAGAATCTTTTTTACAGCTTGTCATTCGGGCAAGCTGAAGCTAGCATTTACTAGCCCAGAAGTCATTTCAACTAGCCCCAAAAACGTTTTGCCCAGCAGAAATGATTTCAAAGTTCTTCTGTTATTCGAATTCCTTATAAAACATCACTTGCTCATCGAGCAAGTTAAAAACAGAATTCACTAGCCCGATAGCAAAATCCACCAGCCCAAGGCTATCGGACATTACTTTCTTTGCACGCTGCAACAGGAGCATAAGGTTTGCTTGCTGCTGCTGCACTGTAGACAATAGAAGGATATGGGTACAGGAGCACATAAAAAAATGAGGGGACTAGCATACTCAAAAATACCTATAAATAATTTATACAAAAGAACGTAATGATGAGTACTGAACCTTTTGCTCTTCAATTAGCCCACCAGTATAACCTCAAGAAACTCTGAGAGTCAAAGACCATGCATGTTTCTGGCTCATTCATGACCCTTTGGAACTTGCATGTCACAATAATTACTGTGCAGGCAAGCACTCAGGGTAGGGGAGGGGAGGAGAGGGAGGGGCTTTGGTGGTGAGAAAGAGGTACATGTCCACTGAAGGCAGGTTTGTTTTGTAGAAATAATGTTTAGGACTCATCACTGTACTGACACTTGGTAGTTGGTCAACACCTGGCCCTGGTTTCAAAAGGTGGACAACACTATCTGGTGGGTACATGTAAAATAATCTCTTTCCATTGGTTTCCGCTAATACTTATCCACTGGATAACACTACTTAGCATTTAAACAACTGGGGCCTGGTCAATCAAATTATTGGGTCCACTTTAAACGTTTCACTATTATAGTGTAAAATTGCATAGCCTCATCTCTGGTTATGTGGCACCAGTAAGGCGGATATAAAATTATTGTTGGTAAAATCTGTTTTCTGAACCTACAGCAGACAGTGGAATAGGTCCAGTACTGGTTAAACTAACAATGGATCTTACTTACAATAATCATTCTTTGTACAAATTATTCAACATTTATGCAGGCATACATGTATAAAAAAAAATTACCCTTGATTTACACAAAAAAGATGAAACCTTATTGTAGCATACACGTAACCATTGTACATAATTTCCACATAAATAATTCTAGCAAAAACTTCTTACCATTTTCCAGTTTATCTGAGAACCTGAGAATTAAATCAAAGTAACAATTTTTATTGTTGTGTGGTGCAAAAACCACTTTACTTTAATTACACTGTTCTTTTATTTAGTTAAAACAGATCAAGAGGAAATACGTAAATTTATGGAATCCCCAACTTCATTAATTGTATGATTTCAAAACATACATGTAATATTAAAAAAAAACCCTTTAAAAAGACATACTACACCTGAAGGTTTCATTTAGATGGACTAAACAAAAGACAATACTAATTTACATAAATTTATGTATTTTTTGGATGTACATGTACTATAATACTATATAATTTTTGTACATGTTTTATAAGATTGTAAGCATTACAGTTCTGAAGTACATGTACATGTATCATTGTCCTATAACAATATAGAATCCTACCCAAGTCGTTTAAGTACAATCTTCCTCCATCTTTTACATCAAATGATTCTAATTTATCCTCATCCTTTGAGGACTTAATTCCTCCTTTAGAAAGAAAAGAATAATAATAGAAACAAAACATTAATTGAAGAACATGTACAAGTCTAACAATACCCTTTGGGGGGTGTATGCATTACATAACTAAGTGAGTAAAATAAGGGTCAAGTCTTTCTTTGGTTAATAAACTGAAGAAAACAATTTTCACACTTAAAAAAATAATTATTTCGTGTGTGAAGTACCAGATGTTACAAGTCAAACAACCGGACTCTGAGTCTGGCGTCCCGCCTGAAACGAAACCCCTGAAAAAAGTCAAGAAAATCATCCTAAAAAAAGTTATTCTGTGTGGATGTTTTAAGCCTGGATGCAGACATCTTCTATTCCTTAAAATGTTGTAAATGGAGAAGTCACTTTTCCATGTGCCTGCATAAATGCAGTCTGCATGCAGCCTAGGACATCTTTTGTTTTTGCTGGAAGCCCTTTATTGTCATATAGTTTCACTGTGTAGTGTTTTATATAAGTCACTCACAGAGGACAGCATAAAGGTTGAAATGTTTAAGGCCACTTGCTACTGTGGGCATCAAGCTCCTGCTTCAATAGATTCTTTGTAGACTCTATCAATGTGATCATCTGTATCAAAAAGGTCAAAAAAAGCAACAGGCATACAATGTAAGAGAATTCAAAACTAAACCAGTATGTAAAACCCTGTTTTTCACTGAGTTTTGTACCATGATTCACTGGACAGATCTTTACTGGCTCTGCTTACACTATATGCCCTTCTCCCAGGCTTCTTTAACCATTTGCCAATTTGATTGCAGAGGGATGTAAAAAGTGGTCATAAGGGGCCGGCCATTTGACTTTTAAGGGGTGTATGGGTGATTTCAGAAAAACATATGAAGTGCAGACTGATTTCAAGAGAAAAACTTCTTGCAACGAAATTCCAAGGAGATACCAGCCCTCCCATTTTGGCTGGAAACCTCCTGTTTTCGGCAAATATTTCTGGCCTCTCATTTTCGCATAATATTCTCCCGGTTTTTGAAACTCTTCCTAGCCAAAGAAAGATAATGTTTTCTTTGTTCAACCAGTCTTTTTTTAGCACAATTCTTTGACATTTTTCTGTGGTTTCTCAGCCATTTTTATCCTTTTGGTATCTGAGCATGAGCCTGCGATAATTTCGGGTGCCGTAATGCACTCCTGAGATTGGAGTACTTGTATGCAAAGTCGTGAACATGAAAATAGGCACGAAAACGGAACATTTTAGACAGAGTTTGTCCTCTCAGAACATTAGAAATGATGTTTCAGAACATCAAGATTTCAAAATTTTCTCGGAGAGCATGTTTCCGACCCCTCTAGTGGCTCATGCCTTTGGTGTCTGTGTGATTTGTCGGTGCAGATTAAAAAAACTTCCCATTTTACATACTCAAAAAGGTTGGACACTCTGAAAAAGAAAACAGGGTAACTGACGCTTGGCATGAAATACAGTATTATTTACCCCGTGCTATCACTGTCATGTGTAAAAGGAATATTTAAATTATTTGTAATCAGTTTATAGTTGTGAAACATGTACATGTACACCTAGTGTAGGACACCTTTTACGTCCCCTTTGTAAACGATTCCACACTTCTTCTCCCAAGAGATGTTCTACACCTCTAACTATGATTAATTTCATATCACACACAGAATATCATTGGTTGAGTGGGTCACTTTGCACACACAAATGAACTTGCTGCCTCGTAACCTGGTGTTTCTTGGAATTTTCCACAGTTGTCATGGAGCAAGGATCATGGATAAGCTTTAAAAATGCAAAGGCACAAAGGAACTGAAGGCTCAATGTGAACAGTGACTATTAGAGAAAATCCTGAGAATTGCATTGGTATGAGGCAGTGAGTGGACCGATAGTAGCGTGCGCTGTCAGTGGCACATTCTCTGCTGATGTCTGAAATTATAGCAAATATACGAAGTTAAAAGCGGACATGACTGTATGTAGGTCAATAATATTGTTGTCCTCTCATCTTCATATTTCTTAAATTCAATCAGAAATGTCCAACGCACCAGGAGATTTTGCAATATAGGTAGTAGACATACGCTGTTATGCGGTTAATTATGGAAATCACGCATGAAAAATTCTTGTAAGCATAAGCACAACATGCATGGGGATGTATAAGAAAGCAGGAAGATCAACTCATGCCATGGGCTGCTGACACCATAAAATGTCGGCTGTTGTCTTAGACTAGAGTAAAATATGTTGTACAGTATTTTTCTCCTTTTGCCTTAAAATGCGTCGAAAAATCGCTCGAGTCTAAAAGCTTAGAGAAAGTACAGCGTTCTTGACAAGAAAGGTTCAAGAATTTTTCAATCGACATTTAGTCAGTTTAGTGTCAGATTTTGCTGGATTTTGGAACCGAACTGGTAAGGTCGCAGCATTTTGTTAAAAGGTCGTTCCACTATCAGTGTTTAGACTTAAAATATATAGCTCCTAAAAGAATTGTTACCAATAAGTAAGCTTATTATATATGACATTAGGCTGAACTTACACAGCTTCAAGGATTTCCCTTGACGCGTCCATTTTGAAAGAACTAGAGGCTACTGTTACTAGTTTGTCAGCGGTTTCACATAAAGTAACGCAAGTGCAATAGCCGTATTATAGGAGTATGTTACGTCACACACAGTAGGCAGCACAATTTCAGATCAATCATAGGCCACTGTATAATCTCCATTAGATATTAGAAATCAATAAATACAAGACATTAAAAATAAACAAAAAAACACAAGGAAAAGTGTAAAAAAGCAACAAAGAGGGCATATGCTACACAGGACTCCCATGTATAAAGCCAAAACGCTCTCCAACAACTCAAATATCATTAAGCATTAAAAACTATTTGAAACTTAGGGAACTTTGCCTCTTACGATGCCTGCCTATCTATTATATCATTGAGCTCACTAAAGCAAAGACGCACTGAACAATCGCTGATGGTAGTTTTCCAAAGTTTTGGGATGCTTGGCCCCACAGGCTGCCCAGACTATGTGGGATTTCGTTAGACTTTGAATTTATAGGAAAATTTCTGAAAATAAACAAAGTACGTCCTACATTCCACTTTTTGACAAAAATGGAATTAAAAATGACTCACCTTGTGTTTGAGTTGTACTACGATAAAACGGCACAGCTCTACCCAGACCCCTTGAGTGCTTCCCGGGCTCCCACCAATTGGTATTTGAACTTTTTAAAGGATAGAAAACAAAGGGTATGTTGCAACAACTTTGAGTGTGACTGGAAACCGGTTAACCAAGGGACAACTCAAGGTAGCGTTAGCGGTCCTTACCTTTTTAACATCTTTCTCAATGATCTTAACATCACTTAAGGTAATCATGACAAGCTATTTAAGTACGCTGATGATTCGACAATTATTGCTCCTGTATGGAAAGAGGTAGACTACTCCGATCAGTTAGTGTCACAGTTTTTAGATTGGACGAACACAAATGGAATGTCTTGCAACCCAAGCAAATGTAAAGAGTTGACGATCAAAAAGAGAGGCAACCGCGATCTCTATTCACCTATTGGGATGATACCAAGCTGTAAAGAAGTTGAGATTTTGGGCGTCACCTTCCAATGTGACAGCAAATTTTCAGTGCACGTGAAGAACGAACTTATTAAAGCTAACAAATCCCTACATATCCTTAGAACGCTGCGCAAAGAAGGGTACAATCGGTCAGAAATAGACCTTCTCTTTAATG